GCCTAGACCCTTCTTCAGAAAAGGGTCTAGGCCCGAAACGTCAGCTTTCCTGCTCCTCTGATGCTGCTTGGGCCTGCTGTGTTCATCCAGCTCTACACCTTGTTACATCAACCATTTACCTGGCTTCACTCCCTAAAATCAGGCCCAGCACCAGAAAGTCTGGAAATTTTTTCAATCAAAATATGGTTTGAGTCTGTTTGCAATGTTTATTTTGGATTGTATATAGTGTACCCTTCTAAATGTTCTAGTTTTGACTTTATCTGAAGCCGTCTGAGATTCATAAGTTGTGTGTCGATGGATGACGATTTTCTTTTACAATTTTAGAAGTGTGAATGTTGGAAATTTGATTTCCTGCTATACTTTGCACCATTTCAATCCGAATAGTTTCTTCTGTTTGCAGAGTTTTGTTTCCGTTTGTTTTGGTTTGGTGGATTGTGATTAGGAGGTTTATATATTTTATGTTTGGAAAATAAATGTGGAATCTTTCCAATTGAAAAGGAGGAAAAACTGTCTTAATCAATGAGGAAAGGCAAATTGATCTATTGATCTGATTTCTCAAGATGAAGAAATTCAACAAAATAGACATTTTAGTGGGTACATGGGTGCATAATCAATGCTTGGAGAGGCAGGTATTCTCCAGGATAGTCAGCACAGATTTGTAAGAGGGAGATCCTGTCTGACTAATTTAGTTGAGCTTTTTGAAAAGATGACTAAAAACATTGACATAGTTTATATGGACTTCGGTAAGGTCTTTGACCAGATTCCACAGGCTGGTCCTAAAGGTAAGAACCCATGATATCCAAGGCAAGTTGACAAATTAGATCCAAAATTGGCTTTGAAATAGGAGGCAAAGAGTTGTTTTTGTAATTGGAAACCTGTGACCAGTGGTGTATCACAGGGTTTGGTGCTGAGACTCTTGCTGTTTATGTACATAAACGATTTGTAGAAGTATAATTAGTAAGTTTGCAATGACACTAAAATTGGTGGTGTTCTGAAAAGTAAGGAGGATGGTCTCGGGCTGTAGTCTGATATTGATCAGCTGGTAAATTGGACAGAGCAATGGCAGATGGAATATAATCTCGATAAGTGCGAGGTATTGAATTGAGGGAAGTCTAAAAACAGAAGGATGTACACAATGAATGGTAGGTCCCTGGGGAGTACTGAAGAACAAAAGGACCTTAGTGTACAAGTCCTGAAGGTGTCAGCACAAGTTGACAGGGTGATGAACAAGGCATATGGGATGCTTGCCTTCAATTGCTGTGGTGTAGACTATAGGAGACAGGAAGTCTTGTTACACCTTTATAAAACATTAGTTAGGCCACAGAAGGAATACTGTGTGCATTTCTGGTCACCACACTTTCAGAAGGATGTGATTGCACTGGAGAGGATGCAGAGGAGATTCACTAGGATGCTGCCTGGGAGGGAAAATCTCAGTTATAAGGAGAGACTGGATAGGCTGGGTTTGTTTTCCTTGGGTGGTAGAGGCCGGTACTTTTGCAAAATTTAAGAAGCATCTGGATGAACACTTAAAATACCAGGGCATAGTAGGCTATAGATGTATAATGCACGTAAGAGGGATTAGTGTAGTTTGGCCACTGTTGGTCAGCATAGATGTGGTGGGCCAAAAGGCCTGTATAACTAGTAGTTGACCAGATTATTACTCCTCCCAGCCACTAAATGGTGCAATCTCCTGTATTTCCCTATCTCAACTTTATTAATAATGTAAAGTCATCACAGAGTCGGAAAAAACTCTGTCAAATTCCTTGAAGAGTGAGTCTTTCCTATTTGCCATTGGCTAATCACAGAATAATCCAAATTGCTGACAGGACCTGTGGCCGGCTTTGCTTCATGTAACCTCTGGAGGATTTGCAACTCCAGGTGGATGTTGTACCTTTAAAAATTTTTAGTCACCAGTTTGAAGTCAGTAAGTGAATGAGCAAGGCCAATGCACCTCCAATGGCATTGCTCACAGAAGTGTGTGGTAGTGGTGGCCTGATTTCACTTGGAGGCTAAGTCGCAGATACGACATGTGCTTTCTGACATGTGTGTCGTACCCTGCATCTAGGGATAGAGGAATCAATGTTCTTTCCATTCTCGTGGCTGATCATGAATCTCTCCTGCTCTTACCGCTTGTGTGCTGGAAAGATTTGTAAGTTGATGATCAAGCTGTTTGGTCATGTAACAAATATACATTCCTTGACAATCAAGTTCTGGAGTGGGATTGAACCCAGATCTTCTGGCTCAGAGGCAGGAACGTTACTGACCCGGAACCACAAGATCACCTCTACTGAGGTGCGTAGTGTACTGTTTTATAACAATAGGATATTCTCAACTGGGTGTGACAGAAAAAGTGTGTTGTACATAAATCTTTAAAATAGGAATGTGTCTACATATCATATCTGCTATAACATGTTTCAGGAATTGATTAGGAGCAGGAGTAGTCTGCTCAGCCCCTTGAACTTCTTCACCTCTTAATTAGATCGTTGGCTGATCCAATGCCACTCCATTAATCAGTCTTGTTTAACGATTCATATTTTTTGGTTTTTCTTTCAGGGTCAAAGCCAAAGTGGTAGTCATGGAGCTGGAGGTGGTAAGAAAGATGATAAGGTGAGTGTTTAAGTCTATCATTGTTGTTCAGGATGGGAATTGTCGAATTTATTACAATTGAAGATATAGCAGCAATAAAATTCCATCATGGTAATTAACAAAACCAGTTACAGACTTGAGGGTGTTAGCAGAAAGAAAACTGAAGGTGCGAGTCATAAGTCAGTCTGTTTGAATATTGTCACGTTACTTCACATTGTGACAAAGGCTATCAACATCCAAAATCTTAAAACAGGCAAAAGCTCTATTTAATATTTCAACATCTAAATAACAACAGGAGACAGGGGGCCTGAGAGCAAACTGTGTTAGGTATTTGATTTTTAAAGACACAGCCCCGTAAAACTGACCCAAAATTTATGATGGAAGTGATGATATGGATGTGGAGGTGCTGATGTTGGACTAGGGTGGACAAGTTCAGAAATCACATGACACCAGGTTATAGTCCAACAGGTTTATTTGTTTGAGATGTTCAGGTCACTGTGCAAAGAATATGAAATCAACTGAACTTTAGTCATTTCCCATTGTAATTAATTGAACAGAAATGCTTTAAATCAATGACCAGGTGCTTACTCCAAACAGAAAACATCAGGATGTTGTTTTCACCTTTCTAGCCAGCTCTGATAATGCTTCTTTCACTCTGGGGCACTGTTGCTGGTTTTTGCTCATTTGGTATCTTGTGACCTTTGTGACGCATTCATTTCTTCTTTCAGGGTTATTGGCTTCACTCTGCACCGTTTTCCTACATCATTGTTTGTTTGTTTCAGCTGCCTCCTAGAGAATTACCTTAATTGCGTTGAAGTTAATTTCTAAATAACAAGTATTAATATTCATCTTTAATGAAAACTAGAGTGTAATTGAATCATCTCATTGCTTTGATGTGCACCATCCTATACCTGGTCTATCCATCATACACATTCTATTAAGTTCACAGCCCTACGTGTTTGTTTTCCCTTGAAATAATTATCCAATTTACTTCTGAAGGATACTATTCGATCTTATTTCCACCAGCCTTTCAGACATTTTCAGTATTCTATATCATGACGACAATTTCCTGAGTTTTAAAAACAAAAGTTTCCTGTGTCAACCTTGGTTCTTTTGTCAATTTAATTTTTAAACGTCTTACCTGATTATGACGCCCCTGCAGTGTAAACCTTTTCTTCTTATTTACTATACCCACCAAACAGTTGTCCTTTTGCCACACATCCCAAACCAGAATGTACAGGCTAAAGTTATTTTGTTGGATTTGTTTACAAGTTAAACATATAAATAGTGAAGCATGCCAGCATAGTAAACCAACTGAAGCTGTAAACAAAAAGGGCCATTTCACATGGCGTTAATGTAAGGTGTTATTACATGTCACTTACAAAGATGAAACGTGATTTTCTTTCGGTAAATCCTGCCAAAGTTGTGCCAACCATGCACTGTGCAAATGAGTTCATCCAGGATTTTCTGGCACAGCTGAAGCTGACCAAACACAGCTTCAGTTTATACCATTTCCTATAATAGATGTTACACTTCATGGGATACTCTCTTTTATTAGCCAAGGCACAATACATGAGCAAGAAGGTGATGGTGTAACTGTTTAAAACTCTTGTTATTTGCAGCTGTGTGCAGTTCTGGTCACCACATTTATAGGAAAGATGTGATTGCACTAGAGAGGGTGTAGAGGGGATTTCCCAGGAATCTGCATGTGCTGGAGGGTCTTTGGTAGGAAGAACATTGAAAGTCAGTATAAATTAGGGGAGCAATTTTAAAAGGGGGTGCAGGACTATAGGGACCAGGGTATATGTGCACAGATCAATGAAGGTGGAGAGAGCAGTAAGTGAAGTGTACAGCATCCTTTAGCTTTATTAATAGAGACAAAGAGTACAAAAGTAGGGAGGTGATCTTGAAATTGTACAGAATACTTGTTAGACCTCAGCTGGAGTATAGTGTACAGTTGTGGGTGCCACATTATAAGAAAGATATGAATGCATTGGAGAGAGTGCAGAAGCGATTTACATGAATGGGTCCTTTGATGAGAAACTTCAGTTATGAGGATTGATTGAAGTAGTTGGCACTTTTTCTTTGGAGAAAACACAAAGAGGTTTTTTTTTTACAAAATGGTGAGCAGGTGGAGTTGGGGAGATGCTGTTCCGGTCTGTAAAAGGAACGAGAGCACAGATTTAAAGTGACCTGCAAACGAAGCGGTGGTAACACGTTAAAAAGCTTTTTCAATGCAGTGAGAAGTTAGGGAGAGGTTCAACTAAAGCATTTAAGACGGCATTGGATGATTATTTGGCGAAATGGGTATGGGGAGCAAGCACAAGACTGGCAAAAGAAAATGCTCATCTGAGGAGCTGGTATTGACATGATGTGGTGAATGACCTTCTGTGGTGTAACACTTCTGTGATTCTCCTCAGGAAATAAGTTGTGATGCTCCTTTACTCTCCTGTTATTTAAACAATTGCTTTATTATGTGGAGGGCACAGCTCCTACAAGCTCATGTTCCCTTATTACGAGTACACACCAGATACACTGCAGAAATTCACTAGTGCTCCTTAGACAGCACCTTCCAAACCTGTGACCCCTACCATTTAGAAGGACAAGCACAGCAAATACACAGGAACATCTGTAAGTTCCCCTCAAAGCCACTCTACCATACTGACTTGGAAATATATCGCCATTCCTTCACTGTCACTGGGTCAAAATCCTGGAATTCCCTCTCTAAGTGCATTGTAGGTCAACCTATTGCACGTGGACTGCTGCGGTTCAAGAAGGCAGCTCACCCCCACCTTCTCAAGGGCAACTAGGGGCAGGCAATAAATACTGGCCAGCCAGCGACGCCCACATCCCACAAGCGAATTTTAAAAAAATTATACAGACATTCTCAGTGTGGTGACAGGTACAATAGTTTCCATTGTTACATTGCTTAAATCACTACATGTTCACTATATTTTCATGCAACAAGTGGCCAGAGTCTGGAATGCACTGCATGAGTGTGTGCTAGGGACAGGTCAGTCAAGGTATTCAGAAGAGAGTTGGTGCATTATTTGAGAATGAACAATGCGCACAGTTACACCGGGACGGGAGGCAGGAGAAAGGCACAAAGTGAATTGCTAATTTGGAGAGCCACCGCAGGCAAGATGGGCCGAAAGGCATCCCGTTGTGCTATACTAATCAGCTGGTCAAAGTCTGAATACAAACCGGAATGCGAAATCCAATGCATACTGAATGTAGGTTAGTATACACGGTTTCAGAAGATTAAAAAATAACCTGTATTTGTAACATTTTGGGGGGTGTCTTGATAGGATAAGAAGAAGAAATATGAACCTCCTGTGCCAACCCGAGTGGGAAAGAAAAAGAAGAAAACGAAAGGGCCTGATGCAGCCAGCAAGTTACCCCTCGGTAAGGCAGTGATCTCATTTTGAAATGCATCTGAGTTTTGTTGTCTTCTCGCAAAATAATCTGGGTCTAATTCAGTTGAGTTCAAACAGCAACTGCATGTCATCAGCACGTAGCCTTGATATCAAACTGCCATCTGAAAGTTTTTGAAAAAGGTTGCTTTATGATTTAGATGTGGAGGTGCCGCTGTTGGACCGGGGTGGACAAAGTCGGAAGTCCCATGACACCAAGTTATAGTCCAACAGGTTTATTTGAAATAACGACAAGCTTTTGGAGTGCTGCTCCTTTGTCCAGTGGCTTCATCTGACGAAGGAGCAGTGCTCCCAAAGCTTGTGATTTCAAGTAAACCTGTTGGACTACAATCTGGTGTGTGTGACTTCTGACTTTATGATTTAGCGTTCTCTTTGGGTTCATTCTGTTCCTTTTGAGTTCCTTTCCTGATGTGGTTTAACTTTCTGCATTACGTTAGCTGCTCTGAGCTTTCGCTCTGGATCTCTTGGAGTCTTCAGTCACCGTCAGAAATTCCCAACTCTGGCTATTGATGGGAGAAGGTTCCAGATCATATTGTGTTTACAGTGATTGGCTCCCCAATGGACAGAGCGTAGAAAACCCTCAGCAATGCACTGAGAACACCCAAGAATCATCCCTGAGAATAACTGCTTTCTTTTATTTAATTCCCATAGTGACTCCTCACACACAATGCAGACTCAAGTTACTGAAACTGGAAAGGATAAAAGATTATCTGTTAATGGAAGAAGAATTCATCAGAAATCAGGAGCAAATGAAACCGCTGGAAGAAAAACAAGAGGTTTGTCCTGGAAAGATGTAGCGCAATCAGCAGAGTTATCAGTCTTATTAGCCTCCCATTCGCTCTGCAATATAATGCCCCTTACGCATGGATAACAGCTTTTTTAAACATATCTTGATTCAAGCACTCAAATTCCAATAGGAAGCAAAAACAGAAATTGCTGGGAAAGGTCTGGCAGCATCTGTGGAGAGAAATCAGAGTTAATGTTTCGGGACCAGTGACCCTTCTTCAGAACATTTATTTCCAATAGGAAGCAATGTCATGTCATTTCCCAAACATCCCGAACAGCTACCTACGTGGGCAGTAATTAACCTGTTTATTTGAAAACCAGGATGTAGCGTGTATGGTAACTTCGCCAATGTGAATTTCCATTCTTAGTTATGGAGAATATAACAGTTGTTCAAATATAGTCTCTTAAAACAGCTAATCTCTCAGGTTGTGCCCCGTAACAGTTCAGGGTCAGCTGTACCATGACCAGTTCCACAGTGAAGCTGCCTTTGACAGCAACATGCTATCATCCTAGCCTCAGAGCAGCACTCCTTCCTAGACCAGTGAGTTTCCTGCACTGAACGTGCTCTAACCTCCCCACCGATTCAGGTGGGCGCTTCTGCTTCCCGTTAAGTACTAGGTGCTCTGAACTACGTCAGTGGCACAAAAACCGAAATTGCTGGAGAAACTCAGCAGGTCTGCCAGCATCTGTGGAGAGAGAGCAGAGTTTGTCAACTTAGTTGTCCTAGTATATCTTGTGTTGGTTCCTAGCACCTGCCTGCGTTCTGCAGTACTAAACCTCTTTGCTTGATAATGCAGTTTAAAAAGTTGTTACTGGTGAAAGTGGATGTGAAGCTATGGGTTTGTTGCAATAGCCTCACAGAAGCCTGACTATCTTTCAGCACTGGATAACTCCCCTCCTTATCTGGTCTGACCTGTAAGTGGCTCCAGTTTCACATCAATCTGCTTTGCCCATTTCCTCCCTCTGAAAGGCCCCAGTGAGCCACTCTGTTAAACCAAACTACCACGGATAATTTAAAAAGACAACCTACCACCACCGACACTTGCATTGCAGTACTGAATGAGATAACAAGCGTTGACTTTCTCTGTAAACAGGAGGAAAGGTCTAAAGTGGATGACCTGAGAGGGACACCGATGTCTGTGGGCACGCTGGAGGAAATCATAGACGATAACCACGCCATTGTGTCGACCTCTGTGGGCTCTGAGCATTACGTCAGCATCTTATCGTTTGTGGATAAAGACCTGCTTGAGCCTGGCTGCTCAGTCCTACTCAACCATAAGGTAAAGGAGGGGTACAACCCTCAGACATGTCTCAGCTTTCACTTCGAAAGCTGAGTATTCGCTTCCTACATATTTACATGACTAATTTAATGGTCAATAAAATGATAGAGGATAGTAAAGCTGGAATTGATCAGTTTGTGGTCTACTATAGTTTGAAATTTGTTTTCTTTATTCCTTTGTGGGATGTGGTTGTCACTGGCAAGACCAGTATTTGTTGCCCATCCTTAATTGCCCTTGAACTGATTTGCTTGCCAGGCTGTATAGACTGGCTCAGTGGTTAGCACTGCTGCCTCATAGTGCCAGGGACCTGGCTTTGATTCCACCCTTGGCGACAGTCTGTGTAGAGTTTGCACACGGGTGCACCGGTTTTCTACCACAGTCCAAAGATGTGCAGACTAGGTGGGTTGGCCATGGGAATTCAGGGTTACAGGGTGGGTCTGGGTGGGATACTCATTAGAGGGTCAGTTTAGGCTCAATGGCCTGCTTCCACACTGTAGGGATTCTGTGATTTCAGAGGTCAGTTAAGAATCAGCTGCATTGCTGTGGGTCTAGAGTCCCGCATAGGCCAGACCAGGTAAGGCCAGCACATTTCCTTCTCTAAAGGGCATTAGTGAGTCAAACAGGCTTTTACAACTGCTGATGGTTTTACTACTTGGATTAACTTTTGATAACTAGATTTTTAGTTTCAGATTCTTACTGAATTCGCTTCTCGTCAACTGCCATGGTGAGAAGTGAAGCCAGTGCATTAGTTTGGGATCTGAAATAAATTCTCGAGTCTGACTGTAAACTGACTAACCAAGACCCACATCTGAGGACAGGACTGAAACAAAGGAGAAAAGAATGGGACAGAAAGCAAGTGATGGTGACTCCAAGCTGGGGGGAACAAGAGTGAGCAGTTCCACAGAAGTGCAAAAAGCTATACCTGATCTAGTCTTAATGTGACTGTGAACATACGCTGCATGGATGGTACTGAATGCCTCTGGGGCGAATTGAGCCGATCATTAAATACCATTTCTTCAGTGTCAATACAATGTGGAGCTGGAGGAACACGCAGATCTGGCAGCATCAGAGGAGCAGGAAAGTCAACGTTTCAGGTTTACACCCTTCATCAGGACTGGGGAAGGGAGCTCGGAAATAAATAGGAGGGGTGGGGCTGGGGGAAGGTAGGTGGGATGGTGTTAGGGGATATAGGTATTGGGTAGTGGAGATCGGTCAGTGGAAGGGGTGGAGTAGATAGGTGGAGAAGAAATTGGACAGGAACAAAAACAGAAATTGCTGGAAAAGCTCAGGAGGTCTGGCAGCATCTGTGAAAAGAAATCTGAGTTAACGTTTTGGGTCATTTCTGAGGGAGGGTCACCAGACCCGAAACGTTAACACTTTTTTTTTCTTCACACATGCTGCCAGACCTGCTGAGCTTTTCCTGCAACTTCTGTTTTTGTTCCTAATTTACAGCATCTGTAGTTCTTTTGGTTGTTAAGAAGATGGACAGGTTGTGTCGGGTCAAGGAGGCGGGGTTGAGAGGGTGGGTTGGATATAGGATGAGGCTAGGGGTTGGGAGATTTTAAAACTTGTGAATTCTATGTTGAGGCCATCGGGCTGTAAGCTCCCGAGGCGGGATATGAGGTGTTGTTCCTCCAGTTTGTGGGTGGCATCATTGTGGCACTGGGGGAGGCCCAGGATGGACATGTCACCCAGGAAGTGGGAGGGGGAGTTAAAATGGTTGGCAACAGGAAAGTGTTGTTGATTATAGCGTGCAGAGCGCGGATGCTCCGCAAATCAGTCACCGAGTCTATGTTTGGTCTCACCGATGTGGTCTCCTCTACATCGGGAGCAGCGGATATAGGACGTACAACTGAATCCCTGTCGGATTTGGAAAGATTGTTTGGGGCCTTGGATGGAGGTGAGCGGGGAGGTGTAGCACCTTCTGTGGTGGGCATATGGAGCAAACGAGGGAGTTGCGGAGTGAGCAGTCTGTACAAAAGGGATGGGGAGGGAAATATCTCTTTGGGATGGGGTCAGGTGGCGGAAGTGGCGGAGAATGATATGCTGGATGTGGAGATTAGTGGGGTGGTATGTGAGGACCAGGGGGACTCTGTTTTTATTTTTGTTGGGAGCAGAGGTGCAGGAAATGCAAGATTTGAGGTTGAGGGCATTATGAGACACTGCAGGGGAGATGTTGCAGTCCTTGAAGCAGGAGGACATCTGCGAAGTCCGGGAGTCGAATGCTCCATCTTGGGAGCAGATGTGGTGGAGGCAGAGGTATTGGGAGTAAGGAGTCTCATTCTTGCAGGAGGGTGGGTAAGAGGAGGTATGGTCAAGGTAGCAATGGGAGTCGGTGGGTTTGAAATAGGTGTCGGTGCTGAAACGGTTACCGGAGATGGAGACGGAGAGGTCCAGGAAGGGGAGGGAGGTGTCGGAGATGGTCCAGCTGAATTTGAGGTTGGGTTGAAAGGTGTTAGTAAAGTTGATAAACTATTCAAGTTCCTCATGGGAGCACATTAGCCGCAGCCTGAGAATGTGAAAGGATGCAGTTTCTCATTTTAAGTGGATGTAGGGAAAATCATTTGAAGGTTAGGAGGAAGAAGAGGGAAATTTTGAAGAGAAGCAGCAGCCATAAGGATTAAACATTCAGCAGGCATTGTGGGTTCTTATCTGACTTGGTTCTGCATGATTAAATGATGTCACTGTTGTGACTAGTGCTAAATTATTTCCTTCCCTCATTAGATTTGCCTGTTTTTGTTTTGACTAGAGTTTTAATGCTTCTGTACAGTCCAGCTCTGCTCAGCTAGCAATGCCCACATCCCATGAATAAACAAATCAAACCCCTGATATTCCGAAAGCATTTAAGATAGTGAGTAAGCAAAACTGACAGTTGTTCTTCCCCTGAAACATCAGCTTTCCTGCTCCTCTGATGCTGCCTGGCCTGCTGTGTTCCTCCAGCTCCTCACTGTGTTATCTCTGACTCCAGCATCGGCAGTTCTTACTATCTCTGAGTTCTTCTTTCAATCCTGTTGCTTAGGTGCATGCTGTGATTGGTGTACTGACAGATGACACAGATCCACTGGTGACTGTTATGAAAGTGGAGAAGGCTCCACAGGAGACGTATGCTGATATCGGTGGCTTAGATAGCCAGATCCAAGAAATCAAGGTGAGAGCCGCTTTTGTTAAATATCATGAAATAATATTCAAAGTTCAGTGACCCCTGCAGCCCACACTTTCATTTTAATGTGGTTGGATGATTGGTACTTTCAGGTAATGAAGAGAATTCTTGGAAGTCTCAATGATTTCAATAATGATTAGGATTAGGGGTGAATACATCTCCCAGTGGCAGTGCCTAGAGTGGGTTGAATATGATGCTTTTATGACAGTGGGGTGGTTATCAGCCCAGGTTATTAACAGGTTAAATAATGGGGAACAAACAGAAACAGAAATTGCTGGAGAAACTCAACAGTTATGGCTGGAGAGAAAACAGAGTCAACACTTTGAGTCTCGTGGCCCTTCATCTCCAGAATTCACAGTTCTTTATTTTGTTTGTATGATGGGGAACCTGCAATAAGGTGTAAATGTGACGCTTTGGGAATTAAGTGCTAGATATCTTGCTGGTTGATCTCCCAAGTTGGGTTATTGCACTTGGGAGACAAGCCCTAGTGTAGTTTTCCACTGAAGTGCCGTTGATGTTTCCTACTTCCACTCCCTTTTTTTAAATCATCGAATTCTGTCCCTAATTTTATACAGCGCTCCTCCATTTTTATTATTCATCATTCTTGAGTAATACTGACTATTTGGGAAGTGGGTTTAGTTGGAACAAATTAATGATGTCGCAGGCTGAAGAGCTAGGAAATACGAGGTGTTGCAGAGCTGTCACTGGCAATGAGGTATGATTGCAGTGTTTACGTAGGAAGTTTTTATTGCAAATTGCACCATGGGAATTTCTAGTGAAGCTTAAGTTGACACATGCAGCAACTGGGGAGTAAAGTTTGTTGACGAGGTGGGTGTAGTTGTAAGATAAATATAGCTCTGTGTGTGTAAGAGAGAGACAGTGATTCATTCTAAACAAAAAAAATGTGCTTTAACTTTTGTAGGAATCTGTAGAACTTCCACTCACCCATCCTGAATATTATGAAGAGATGGGAATTAAGCCTCCTAAAGGAGTTATTCTGTATGGAGCTCCTGGCACAGGTAAACTTCATCCTTTAATTGTCAGTGTTAATTTATTCTTGATTTTTTAAAAAATATCCTTTCCATCATTTCATTGCCATCAAGATAAAATGTTGCTAAAATAAAGATGTAATTTGTGCTTTGATTGCTTTCCGCGTCAAGGGCTTACAATGCACTTTCACCCCCCCCCCACCCCAGTTGTTGATGGCATTACGCCTTGTGGATAATGCTGAGATTGTGCTAGCCATTTCATACTGGGTTTCCACCTTCATGATAAGTGCTCAGTATAAATCTATACAGCACAGTGGCCACGTTGCATTTATTTCAGCTGTTTAGCTTCTATCCAGATAGTGCTGTGGTCACTGGAGCAGTGTTGTTCCAACTATACAACACTTGGAGAATATACATTGTCTAAATATCAATGTCTCCTTCCTGTAAACCAACTAAACTTCTTTTATGAAAGGGGTTCCCCAAATGGTTGGGTGCATTTGCCTTTCAGTATCAGTCTTGGGATCACTTGCACCTCATAGAACCAGAGAGTCATTATGACCCAGGAGACAGCCGTTTGGTCCACCCTGTCCATGCAGGCTCTCTGTATAGCAATCCAGTCCCAATTCTTGGGGATAAAGTTGTTGCATTCAGCATGTTAAATGTTTCTTATATTTAATTTCAGTTGCATCTTGTGCATTTAAGCGTGCCATTGCTGAGCAGCTGCAGCAACTTCCATAAAAGGTCCAACTAATTGACCTGTGCTTTTTATGTATTGACATCCAGGTAAAACTTTACTAGCCAAGGCTGTAGCGAACCAAACCTCGGCCACCTTCCTGCGAGTGGTTGGTTCGGAGCTCATCCAGAAGTACCTGGGAGATGGGCCGAAACTTGTACGTGAACTGTTCCGAGTTGCAGAAGAACATGCTCCGTCCATCGTGTTCATTGATGAAATCGATGCCATTGGCACAAAGAGGTACACTGCATTGAGAAGGCTGTTTCAGTCTGGGGAGTATATGGGTTAAAGCGGGTTTCTGGAATTCAGCATATTTTATACGGGCAAAGTCAAGGATGTTTTGTGACTTTTGGAAAATATTACAAGCAACTTGTATACAGGAAGATCCCGCAAAACAGCGATGTGATAATGACCAGATAATTCACTGATGTTAGTTGTGGCTAAATTGAAGGGGACACCTGGCAGAACTTCCGGCTCAGCCCCTAAGAGGGATCTCATATCCACCTGAGACTGTGCTTCAGTTTAATATTTCCTCTGACTGATGTGCCACTCGACTGCAGTTTGTTCTCGCGTCTCTGGAGTGGGCCTTGAACCAATTGTTTTCTGGCTGAGGGGAGAGTGCTACTTACAAAACCAAGGCTGTACATGTGGCACTGGAGACTAGTTATTTACCCAGGAGCTATTGGCAGGAGGCTCGTGACTCACTGGGAACCTGGCTTTAGCTGCTAGAATGGAGAGATTGATTTGATCAGTTGTTATGGGCAACACCGAATAGTAAAGATTTTGGGATGAAGAAAGGGGATCTAGGTCCCTCATTTGGCTATTACCGCCCATGCAGTCATGTGATGCAATGACAGTCTTGGGTTCAAAGTTTCCTGCCCCTCCCAAGCTCTGCACTCTATAAATAATGTCACATCTTCGGTGCTTTGTTGTGTCGGTCAGTCTTGAGTACAGATTGAGCCTTAAACCTAGGACCTTCTTGGTGCAGCCATTCCACTGATCTCGGCTGGTTTCCTGTTCTGGGCTCTCCAACCAGCAGGTACTTGGTGAGAATCCTCTGTATTTACTGTCGGTGCTGTGCTTGCTGCTGGGCTATCGCTGTTCTGATCATTGAATCATGTTTTGCTGTCAGGTATGACTCCAATTCCGGTGGGGAGCGGGAAATCCAGCGTACGATGCTGGAGCTTCTGAACCAGTTGGATGGGTTTGACTCCCGGGGAGATGTGAAAGTTATCATGGCCACAAACAGGATAGAAACACTGGACCCAGCTCTCATCAGGCCAGGTGAGCTCAAGGCTGGTCAGTCACTAGAGGCTTTGAAGAAGAGTCACACTGGATTCAATGTGAACTCTTGTTTCTCTCTCCGCAGGTGCTACCAGACTTAGTTTCTTCAGCAGTCTCTGTGTTTTAGTCAATAGAAGTTGCTGTTTAATTAGTTAGATGCTGCAAATACAGCTCGATCTAGGCTAATTGTTAAACTCTTTCAGATAGGAAAGGAAGATCTGAGAAATCAGATGTGGAGGACACAGGTTAATCCTCTCAGTTGAGAATGCTTGGTAACATGCTGTTTATTTCTGTCAGTGCCTTATGGGTGTTTAATTCATTTCTGATATTTTCTGATCCTATGTGCAAAGGACTGGCTAATTAATTAAGTTGTGCACATTGAAACAGGCTTGTAGCAGTGGGAGTCAGCTCTGGTGATTGCCTCTCACATTCAGGGAATATCACTTTTACAGCTGGGCACATTATCCTGACATTTAACTGCTGGCAAAGTGACACACAAAGTCACTAAGTACACTGAAAAGTTTGAATTCCATACTGGGGTTTTAACACACTGACTGCATTACTGTGGGACTGCTGCATTGTCAGACGTGCTGTCTTTCAGTTAGACATTGAACTTATCTGCTGTCAGTTTGTAATTCATGTAGAGGCCAAAGGTCTTCTATTAACTGACAGCAGCAGTAAGGAACCTGGCCATTGGGGAAATCCTATCGCTGAACATTGATTGCATTTAACAAAAATTCTCAGCATGTGGGTGTCATAAATCAGTTTTTATTGCCCTTTGGAAGCTGGTGATTAGCCACTGCAGTTCTAGGTGATGAAGCTATTTACATAAACCATTATCATCAGTTGACATAGTTGCTAGTTTTGGCAACCGTGTTGCTATGGGCCTGGAAGCTTTCACAGGCCAGAATGGGTAAGGACAACAGATTTCCTTCCCTCGAGGATCTGCTGGGTTTTTTTTAATGATGCTACACTCGCTTTGTCGTCACTGTTACTGACTTATTAATTCCAGACTTATTTAATGAAGCAAATTTGCATTTCTCAACTGCTGTGGTGGGATTTGAACCAAATCATTAGTGCACACTTCTGGATTGCTCGTCTAGTGGCATTACTGTGAGAATTCTGTAACACCTCTGCCTACATAACAATCACTGGGTATGAAAAATAAATTGTGTGGAGCACATTTGCCACTGTGATAACATGCTGCACAAATGCAAGTCTTTTTCTTAGATTTTCTACTATTCCAGGGAGGATTGATCGTAAGATTGAATTTCCTCTTCCGGATGAAAAGACCAAGAGACGTATCTTCCAGATCCACACTAGCAGAATGACAGTAGCACAAGATGTGAGCCTGGACGAGCTGATACTGGCTAAAGACGATCTGTCTGGGGCAGATATTAAGGTGAGTCAGGGTATTTCTCTTTTGCTCCCTCTGTTTCTCCTCACCTTTTTATGCTGGATGGGGGAAGAATTAAGTCGAATAGACTAATATTCTTTGGGGTTTAGCAGAATGAGAAGTGATTTTTATTAAAGATTCTTCAAAGATTTTAAGGCAGATGCAGAGAGGCTGTTTTTAGCTCCTAAAACCACAATACCACAATCACCGCCATAAACCCTCCCCAAAGTCTCCACCCCATGCGCGCATGCACCCCACACCTGTTCACATGTGCCCATACAGTTCTCCCCCACCCTCCCCAACACTTGTGTGAACGCCACACCCCCACGTCACCCCTGCCTCCATCCAGTCGGTCACGGTTTCAGAATTAGGCTTTTTGACCATTTGGAAAAGAGTATCTTTTTTCTCTCCAATGTTAAACAGAGGAATATGAACCTTTGGAATTCTCTTCCCCAGAGAAGTGCCCATGCTCAGTCGATGAGTATTTTTACAACAATGTTTAAAGATTTTCAGACAGTAAGGGAATCCAGGAATCTGGGAATTGCTTGTAAGAATTGAATTTAACTACTATCCTGTTAAATAGCAAGACAGACTCGGGGGCCCAAACTGTTCAAACCTTTATGTTCTTACACAGTCACCTGTCTCTCTCTCTCCTGATGTGCTCATTCCTTTATGGTTTTTGTGATGTGGGTTTTGCCAGCAAGGTCAGCATTTTATGCCCAATCCTAATTGGCCTTGAACTGAGCAGCTTTGCACACAATTTGAAATAGCAGGTAAGAGTCAACTATGTTACTGTGGGACTGGAGTTAAATAAGGGTCAGACCTACATTGGGTAAGTATGACCGAGTTTCTTCTGTAAAGTGGTTGTTTCAGACAGTTGATGACAGCTGTGTGGTTACCATTACTGAACTAGCTTTCAATTCCAGATTTGAATTTTAGTTCCACTAGCAGCCTATCCCCAAAGCATTAGCCTGGTTTTCCAGATTACTAATCGGTGATTATTATTCCTTTCTCCCCACCTCTTACCCCATGCTACCCCAAAAGCAACTGGTATTTCTCCAAAGTGACAGCCTGGCTCGTGAACATTAACGAGCTATTTATCACAATCAGTCTCAAATCCTGTTGTTAAAGCATATCCTTCCCAGCAGAGGCCACTGCATTGCAATAGTAAGTGGGTGCTTGGGGCTCCTTTCCATTCTGGGTGCCAATTTGATTCCATTAACAGTAACTTTGCCTCTTTAAAACTAAAGATTAAACCCACACCCTCAAGACTTGAGCAGCTAAATCCAGGCTTCTTTGAAGGTGGGTAGCATGTCGAGATGTTATGTCAGGTGAGATGTTAAAAGCCAAAGTGTTGTTTGCCTTTCCACAATGTTTAAAAATCCCACAACACCATTCAGAATGTTGGGAGCGGTCTGAATCCTTCTGAACAGTATTCCACCATTGACCGACTTCACCAAGACGAGAGTGACTGACTGCGGAGGCAACATATTGCTGTATATGGGATCTTGCTGTGTGTAAAATGGCTGCTGCAAGTCACTGAAAACATTGCAAAGTGCCAAGGTGCAAACAATGTGATGAGCTCTATTCATCCAAGTTCCTGGTCTGAATATATATTGTTTAGCTACTAATTGTCATTAGAAATTTCTCTGCTAGTTGTTTTTGTTGATGAATCAAGAGTTGGAGTTTATGTAGTGGCTAATGTTGAAGTTGAATATGTCCTTTTATTTCTGTTGCAGGCTATCTGTACAGAAGCTGGTTTGATGGCCCTGCGTGAGCGAAGGATGAAGGTTACCAACGAAGACTTCAAGAAGTCAAAGGAAAATGTCTTGTACAAAAAGCAAGAGGGCACACCTGAAGGATTGTACCTTTAACCTTTGATTAGATTCCTTGCATCAACCAACCAACCTTCCTTTTGCTGCAAAAGTTCTTTGAGACTTTCCAGATGTGGGGGTTTGAGATCGGAGGTTTTACGTAATTTTTTTTTGGCAAGGCTTATAATGTGCTCCTAGATCGGCAAGAACGTAAACGTATAAGTCCTATCTTAGTGAATAAAGTGTTGCCTGTATGCGTTTTGATATGACCAGTGGTGCTTCCTGTTAACTTCTAGGGTGCTGATATTTGTAAAAATATGGGCTGAATTTACTCAAAATGCACGACTCCCTTAAATCCCTTTCTCTTGGCAGCAAATTGTCCTTTCTGCTCACAACTCTGAGATTCATGTCCAAGCTGGTGCAATGAGTACTCGTCTATCAGCTGTACAATGTTATATATAGTGCTGCCTTCACCTGCTCCCACTATATGCAGGCCCACAGTAGAATCTGCTTTAAATCAGTATAAGAATAAAAGGTATGGTAAAATTATGGTAATGCCAGGAGCTCCAGGCTCAAGTCCCACAATCGGACTTCACAGAATTGTTATGGCACAAGAAGGAGCCATTCAGCCCATCATGCCTGCACCCAATCGTGTCAATCTCTTGCCTTTTCCCCGTATACCCTGCACACCATCTCTATCCAAATAATCATCCAATGCCCCTCTTGAATGCTTCAAATGAACCTGCCTCCACCACGTTTCCAGGCAGTACATTCTAGACTATTTGCTGTGTGAAGATTTTTTCTTTGCTTGTATATTTCTTCAAATTTATGCCCCCTCATTCTTTTTTATTTGAAAGCAGGAGCAATTTATCCCCATCTATTCTGTCCAACCCGCTCACGATTCCGCAACCTACTACCGTATCTCCTCTCACCCTTCAACTCTGCAGGGAGGGCAGTCCCAACTTCTTCAATCCTCATAACTGACATTTCTCATCCTTGGAAGCATTCTTGCAAATCACTTCTGTGCTCTCTCTCGAATGCGTTCACATCCTTCACACAATGAGGTACCCAGAACTGTGGACAGTGCTCCAGCAGTGATCTAACGCTTGGTCCCTCTGCTTCTGCACTCCCTTTAGAATTGTACCCTTTTTTTTATTGTCTTTCAATGCTAGCTATGAAGAGAGATTGAGTAGATTAGGATTATTTACATTAGAAAGATGGAGGTTGAGGGGGGACCTGATTGAGGTCTACAAAATCATGAGAGGTATAGACAGGGTGGATAGCAAGAAGCTTTTTCCCAGAGTGGGGGACTCAATTACTAGGGGTCACGATTTCAAGGTGAGAGGGGAAAAGTTTAAGGGAGATATGCGTGGAAAGTTCTTCACACAGAGGGTGGTCTGTGCCTGGAACATGTTTCCAGCGGAGGTGGTAGAGGCGGGCACGATAACGTCACTTAAGATGTATCGAGATAGATACATGAATGGGCAGGGAGCAGAGGATACAGATCCTTGGAAAGTAGGCGACAGGTTTAGATAGAGGATCTGGATCGGCACAGGCTTGGAGGGCCGAAGGGCCTGTTCCTGTGCTGTAATTTTCTTTGTTCTTCTGACCAAAGTGCATCACCTTGCTCTTTGCTTTGAATCTCATCTGTCACCTATCTGCCCACTCCACCAACTTCTCAATATCCTTTTGGCGTTCCATCCTATCCTCCTCACAGTTTACCATTCCGAGTTTAGTGTCATTAAAGCAACTTTGACATTGTCCCCTGAACACCAAGATCAAGATCGTTAATATATTATTAGGACCTGTTGGCCATGGAAGGAGTATTTACAATGCAGTTCAATCGATTCATAACCAACCCCAGAAATCCTTCCACCATCTGCAAACGTGTGATAGAGGAGATGTACTTACAGAAGAAAAGTATCAGAAACAGAACGTGGCCTATCATTCTCCTGTTATTGTAACCTCAGTCAAGATGGTCAATATAAAATTTGAAGGAAAAGAGCTTTTCCATAAATTATCGGTGAAGTTTAGCTGTTGTATTTGCTCTGTTATGGCTGTAGTAAAGACACAGCTTGAAGAATCTGTGCCCTGTAATGAATAACAAACATCAAGAAGGCTGTGCATTGTGGAAAGTTGGCTTGGTCCAACAATCTCCGATTAAATTCATTTCAAAACACGAGAACATAAGAACTAGGAGCAGGAGTAGGCCATCTGGCCCCTCGAGCCTGCCCCGCCATTTAATAAGATCATGGCCGATCTTTGAGACTCAGCTCCACCTACCCGCCCACTCACCATAACCCTTAATTTCTTAACTGTTCAAAAATTTATCTAGCCTTGCCTTAAACACATTCAGCGAGGTAGCTTCAACCACTTCACTGGGCAGGGAATTCCACAGATTCACAACCCTTTGGGTGAAGAAGTTCCTCCTGACCTCAGTCCTACATCTGCTTCCCTTTATTTTGAGGCGATGCCCTTTAGTCCTAGTTTCACCTGCTAGCGGAAACAACCTCCCTGCCTCCACTTTATCTATTCCCTTCATAATCTTATATGTTTCTATAAGATCTCCCCTCATTCTTCTGAATTCCAATGAGTATAATCCCAGTCTACTCAGTCTCTCCTCATAATCCAACCCTCTCAACTCTGGAATCAACCGAGTGAATCTCCTCTGCACCCCCTCCAATGTTAGTATATCTTTTTCTCAAGTAAGGAGACCAAAACTGCACACAGTGCTCCAGCTGTGGCCTCACCAGGACCCTATACAGCTGCAGCATAACCTCCCTGTTTTTAAACTCCATCCCTCTAGCAATGGCAGACAAAATTCCATTTGCCTTTTTAATCACCTGCTGCACCTGCAATCCCACCTTCAGCGATTCATGCACAAGGACACCCAAGTCCCTCTGCACAGCAGCGTGCTGCAATTTTTTACCATTTAAAACATAGTCCATTTTGCTGTTATTCCTACCAAAATGGATGACCTCACACTTATCAACATTGTACTCCATCTGCCAGACCTTTGCCCACTCACTTAGACTATCTATATCCCTCTGCAGACTTTCAGTGTCTTCTGCATACTTTGCTCTACCACTTGCCTTAGTGTCATCTGCAAATTTTGACACAACACACTTAGTCTCCAACTCCAAATCATCTATGTAAATTGTAAATAATTGCGGTCCCAACACTGATCCCTGAGGCACACCACTAGCCACTGACCGCCAACCAGAAAAACACCCATTTACCCCTAAACCCTTAACTCATCCAAAACCCTTGCAGCACATTTCTGGGAGCTCCAGCCCTTTGGATGGAGCAACTATAGCTTTTCAGCCTAACGACCGTGGTCGGGAGACTTGTAGAAGCAATAATCAGAGACAAATATAATTGACACTTGGAACACTATGACTTAATAAATGACAGCCAGTCAGGATTTGTTGTATTCAAATGATATTTACATTGGATGAACTACCATGTACCAGACTTGTTAGTAAAATTGAAATTTATGGATTATAGGGGCAGTTGTAACAGGGATACTAATTTGACTTAAGTCAAAGTATTTGTTGAGATTAAAGCTGGAGAAGCACACGAGGTGTGGCAACATCAGTGGAGAGAGAAACCTTTAATATTTCGAGTCCCATATGACTTCTCAGACACGTATTGGCGAATGCTTTTTCAGGCTGCAGGGAAGTGTATAGTGGTGACTTACACAAGGTCATTGCTGTTTCTGATACAAACTAATGACCTGAACCTGTGTATAAATAGCATCACTTTAGAACTTTGGAGAAGATTTACTGAAAAGGTAACAAGGACTCGAGGATTTCAGGTAATGTGGAAAAGGGCACAGATGCTTTTCTCATCCCATTAGAGAAACTTCAGACAAGATTTATGGAGTTGTTCAAAATCAGCCACAATTTTGATAGGGTAAACAGTGGGAAGGATAATCAGTAATTGGAAGGTGGGCAGATTTAAAATTATTAATGGCTTAAAAAATCCTAATTGATTTTACAATGGTGAATTACAATGTGGAATGTGCCCGCTGAAAGGGCAGTGGAAGGAGATTAAATAAGAACTTCCAAAAAGGGTAACCGAGAAATTCTTGAAATGGAATGGAATCTTTGGCAGGGCCAAGGGGGAGAGGCAGGATAATTGGACAGCTGTTTCAAAGAGCTGGTATGGGCACGATGGGCCAAACAGCCACATCCTGAGCAGTGTGATTCTACGAAATGAGTTCTGCAAAATAGCGACATTTCAAGCCAGCCATCAGACTGAAGCTGCTTATTTAAAAATAGAACGTGTTTACAATTCAGCGACGATTTGCTGGAATAAGTCACTAAATCTGCTCATAAATTCTGAAGACCTTCTTTTATTAAACCATTAACTGCAAAATTGCACATTCTTAACCTGAAGCCATTTACTTCCTGCTTTGCATCCTGTGTGAGCGTTAATTAAGTGTGTCACTGTAGCTGCTTTTAACATGAGGATTGAAAGTAGGCAATGCTGATCATCCGCCAAAGGCAGGTGCTAATTGGCATCTGTTAATCTTTCACTATGGTTTCCCATTGCTAACATTTTGTCTGTGTAATGTTAACCCACGCAACTGCAACATTCTCTTGTGTGGCTCCGTTGGTGCAGAACTAAAAGATCCCAAGGAGCTTTGCAAAGCTTGGGTGAGGAGAAAATGGATCTCGAGGCAAGAGACAACGAGGGCACAATGTAAGGAGGGGCACAGAGCTTTTCAAAGTAGTCCAGAGAAGCCTCTGATGATCCCTTTTCTAAAGCGAGTGCCCCTCTTACCATGCTGCATTTGTACAAATTTTCTCATGGGCTAAATTGCTGAAGTGGTTCTGCTTCTGTCAGGTTTATGGAAAGAATCACACAATGGGTATAGCACAGAAATAGGCCATTCTCCCATCGCGCCTGAATTTGCTGTTCAAACAAGCATCTTTACCTCGTGCCAATGTCCTGCATTTTCTCCCCTATACCTGTGCACCATTTCTATCTGATTTGTCATCCAATATCTCAGTTGAATCTGCCTCCATCACATTTCCAGGCAGTGCATTCCATACCCAAACTACTCACTGTGAATAAGATTTTCCTCACATCACCCTCTCTTCTTTTGCCCTTTAAGTCCATGCCCTCTTGTTTTGTTCTTTTTACGAGCAGGTACAGCTTCTCCCCATCTACTCTGACCAGGCCGCTCATGATTTTGAAAACCTCTGTCAGATATCCTCTTGGCCTCCTCCTCCTCTCCAAAGAGAACAGTCCCTTCTTCAATCTATCCTCATCGCTGAAATATAAAGAGATAAAAGGGCAGCATGACAACCTCTATCTTTTCACCAGTTCTTAGCATTCCCTGTTGGCTCAATGCAGTTCAGGGTGGAGAGATTTTGCGAGGCAGTAACCAGGGGAGAAGGTACTAACCTTCCTGACAGCTTCTAAACTATATATAACAATGCCAAGAGCTTCTGAAGCTAAAAAAGACTTGTATTTATGTAGCACCTCTTGCATCCCAAAAGATTTGATGGACAATTACACCAATTAAGGGCAGCACAGTGGTTAGCATTGCTGCCCCAGCGTTGGAGACCCAGGTTCAATTCCAGCCTTGGGTGACTGTCTGTGTGGAGTTTGCATGTTCTCCCCGTGTCTGCGTGGGTTTCCTCCCACAGGCCAAAGATGTGCAGGTGCAACATGGGTTGTCGTGTCCAGGGATGTGCAAACTATGTGAATTAGCTATGGTGAATGTGGGGTTACAGGGATGGGGTGGGTCTAGGCGGAATGCTCTTCAGAGGGTTGTTGAAGATGTAATAGGCCGAATGACCTCTTTTTGCATAATAGGAATTCTATGAAGTATATTTACTGTAGGAATCACAAATCACTTTCTGTACAACAGGCTCTCAAAACAGCCAAGAGATTATTTGTGACATTGATTAATGGGTAAGTATTGATCAGAGCACCCTGCTCTTCGAAAAAGTGCCCCAGAATCTTTAACGTCCACCCGAAAAGGCAGGATGAGATCTCAGCTTATTATCTCGTCAAAAGGATGGCACTATCTGACAGTGCAGCGCTCCTTCAGTGTCTGCCTGAATATTTTGCATTCAGGATATGAATTAGGCCTTGAACCCAAGATCTTGGGGCTCGGAGTCAAAAGTGCTACCAACTGAGCCATGGCCATTAATTAGTTGTGACCATTTTAAAACAACAAAGGACAATTTCTCTGCAGTCTTCTGTGAAAGGAAGATTTGGACAAAACTGCAGCACAAAAATATCTCGAACAGGCGACCAGAGGTAGTGTTGGAAGCAAGTACAATTTTATTAAGATAGCTACATGAATGGGATAGGTATGGAGGGATACGGACCAAATGCAGGCAAATGGGATGACTTTAAGTTGTTAAAACTGGATGGCATAGGCAAGTTGGGCCAAAGAGCCTGTTTCCATGCTGTAGACTCTGACTAAAAGCACAGGTTCTTTGATATAATTTGTCAGGTTGGCTTTACCTGCTGTCTTCCATACAAGAGGTGTATTTCATGAGCAGATAGAATCATTTGAACGTTATTACTGTATTTAAATAACCTTATTACCATCTCAGTACACATGCAGTTTTCACAGTCCATTTGCTTTCAGTGAAATTCCACAAAATCTGCACACTCAAGCTTCTGCAATTGTACTTTTGACCTTCATACAGTAGAAGTGTTTTTATTTCACAAGCTGGGAATTTCAATATTTTACCAGTGCTGTGCAGTTAAAGTAATTTTTAAACAAGAGAATGTCACATTGATCACTGAAGTGTTTCGGCTGCCAGTTTTCTCGGAGCATTTCATGTTCTGCCAAGGAATCCACGTTTGTGCAGAGTTTCTGATGTTCCTCCAGCAACAGCATTGCAGCAACTAGGAGTCGTTGTGAGAAGATTCACAGCCTTTAGCAGATGGTGGGAAACACAGTGGCCTCTATCTTCAGCCAAGGTGCGAAAGGGTGATAGAGATAAGTCACCTTTTATACAATTTTCCACTCTGCAAACCAGGGGCAAGCGATTCATTTATTACTGACCACTTCTGTGCCACTACCAAATTGAATCCAGACGACCCCCAACCCCCTCCCCTCCCGGCCAAGAAAAGCTAAAGGGCCATAAACAGTTTGCTGTCTCATGCTGTTGTCCCAGAAAAGTTTGTTAACCTCAGAACCAAATGTGATGCTCTTACAATAGTGCCATGGCATCTCCCAATGCCAGCCTGGAGTCATAGACTGTGCTTCACTTTAATATCTGCCCCAGCAACGTATTGGAGTGTCAGTCCTGCCCAGTGGCTGCAAATTCCCTGTTATTACCATCTGCAACCTTCCTCCTTTAGAACTCTCTCCAGTGTTGAATCAGGGCAATCTTCAAAATCATCAGTTGGGTTTACTCATGGCACTGTGCAGAACAAATTATAAACACGAGGCTCCTTTGCAAAATCTCCTTGCGTGCAACAAATAGGAGACACAAGATGCACAAAGCTTCTTGATAATTTTAACGTGTTAAGCCCATCCACTGAGCAAGGTGATGGTCATCCATTTCTTGTCCCTGTGGAAACCAACAGGTAAAACTCCATAAGAACGTTACAGGAATATAACAAAAGTGACAGTTTGACCAGTTTATCCAGTTGAGTCGCAGTGTTGTACAGACAAGGTGTCAGCTTTGACCCTTGGTCTGTCTGTAGGACTGCCAACCCTCCAGAACTGTCACTGAATCTCAAGGAATGAAAGATTCATTTCCAAGGCACTGACCCAAGCAAACACCCAGAAGAAAATATGTGGAGAGCATTGCACAAAATTTTAAAAACAAATGTTTGAATACATTTCCTTAAGTTTGTTTTTGCTGTCGCACACAACTGAGTGACTTTCCCACCATTAAAATCACCGTAATTTGTTTTTCTCTTTTAACTACCATCAATAATCATCCGCGTAGTCAATGCAATGTTTACAAGCAAAGCCCATTATGGCAATGCAAGCCATCAAAAGTGAGGGAGAGGTAGGGAGAGAGGGAAGGAGCCAAATCAAAATGGAGCTGGAGGAGGAAGGAAATAAAGCCCTGTATCTGCTGTGGTGCCCACCTCTCTCCCTCTAAAGGCATTGAGCGCGTTGGTGGTTGCCATATGCTCCCTCTCCAAGGAACCTTATACATCCTAAAGAGAAGTGGAGAAACTGTTTGTGCAACTGACAGCCAATAATCATCCCGTTGTTAATTAAGGAGCTATTTGCTTTCTGATTGTCAGTTTGAGGTCAGCCTCTTCCAATGGTGAATGTTTTGGTCACCCAGTAGCCAGAGTGTGGGGTGGGCAGGTGTTTGGAAACATGACCTCATGTGGCAGTACCTCCAGGATTATGCCTGACCACAATTGCCAACCTTCTCCATGTCAGGTGACCTCACCTCAACCGGCAAATGGTGGTTTCCATGGCCGCACGGACTAGGAAGCAGATCAGCAAATCCCGATCACTGCTGTGCAGCTAGCCTCATAATCAGACAGTTCCCTGGCACTTATGACTAAGGTTCAGGTACAGCGAGACAAGAAACAGGAGCAAAGAACCATAGAATAAAACATGACAGCACAGAAGGAGGTCATTTGGCCCATCTGCACCAGCTCCTTCAAAGAACAATCCCTCTCCCCCACTCACAAGGAGTAATTGCCAGTAATAAACCCCAATGCTTTTTGCCTAATTTTGAAATAATAAAAGATAACATTATAGTAATATTTAGAGGAATAAGTCTTTAAACAAACTGGTCCCTGCAATCCTCCTCCTGTCTTACTCCATCTAACTTCATCAACATATCTTGCCATTCTCTTCTTCATACACTTATCCTGTGTTCCATTAAATACTCAACTACTCCCTTTACTAGTGCACTCTCCATTCTCCCCACTGTTTGGGTAAAGATGTTTCACCTGAATTCCCCACTGGATATAAGTGGCTATTTTATACTTTAATTACACTCCCTCAAGTGGAAACATCTCCTACACATCTACCCCCTTAAACATTCATATTCTTAAAGAATGTTATCAGGTCATCCCTCATCTTTTTTCCTTTTGAAGTCTTACTGTTTCCCATCTCGACATACCCTCGGCTGACGAAGTTCGGGTGAGGTCTGAATATCTTAAAGAAGAGCAGTCTCAGTGGATCCAAGCAAGGGTCCCTTGCTCAGGGTCAGGAGCTGTGATTTGCTTTGATTTATTACCGTCACTTGTACTGAGGTACAGTGAAAAGTGTTGTTGTACATGCTTCACAGGCAGATCGTACTCTCTGAGTGCATCAGGGTAACAGAGCAGAGTGTAGGGTACAGTGTTACAGCTGCTGAGAAGGTGCAGAGAGAGAGAGATCAACATTAACATTTAAAAGTCAAAATTCTGCTAACAACAGGGAAGAAGCTGTTCTTGAATCTGTAAATACATATAATCAAATTTTTATATCTTCGGCCCGATGGAAGATAACCAGGGTGCGAGGGGTCTTTGATTATGTGGGTTGCTTTCCTGAGGCAGCAGGAAGTGTAGGTGGAGTCAATGGATGGGAGGCTGGTTTGCGTGATGGACTGGGCAGTGTAGTACTCTCTGTAGTTTCTTGCTGTCTTGGGAACAGCAGTTACCGTATCACGCTGTGGTACACCCAGATAGGATGCTTTCTATGGCGCATCTATAAAAACTTGTAAACCAGTGAATATTGATGCTGATGCTGGAAAAGCTAAAGGCCACAGGAGACAACAAACTGGGTACAAGGAAAGGATCCTTAGGAGGGCAACTTATGCTGCCTTTCAATCAATAAGGAAGGCATTGGGGCCAACACCCAAACAAGAAGGTGCTGAAGAGAAAAGGGGGCGTATTATAAAAGGTTTCATTGACATTGGGAAGCCGTAAGGGGTCACCAATGGATTGAACATGTTGTACCGTGTTTGAGGTTCAGAGCTAGAATGCAAAAGGTCATGTCAACACAGTGACAAAATAGGAACAAAGATACGTAAAGTCAAAAGTATGGTAGATGGTTCAAGACAATCAAGGATCCATGACCAGAGTAGAACTGATAAAATAGAAATTGAGAAAAGATCTGTTGGTCAGAGAGAACACAGGGATTAAGAGCAGCCATGGATGGCAAACTTCAGAAGGTGTAGCAAAGTCTTCCCAAAGACAGGAACAGTATTTTTTTTATGGAGTCAGCAGATATTGAAGGAAAACAAAGTGCTGGTCAAGATTTCTTGAGGACAGATTTAGCAGCAGAAGAGACAGTGGCACTCCATCAGAGATTGCAAATGGTTTTTCAGAAACTTACCTGTCACTTCCCAAATCAAGAAGCCCTAAAATAACAAAAGCATCAAAAGTAGGAAAAAACTGAACCTAAACCAACATACAGCCAAGAGCCATTGGTGGGAATTTGAGAAAGATGTGTTCATTCATAAATACTAGCCATTTCAGTCACTCATTCCAAACCTGTATCTCAATGAGGCCCACTGCAGCAGCATTCTAAAAGCTGTTACTGTTTGATATACATCACCTCAATCACTTCAAACTGGATTCTCCGCCTGTCCTCTTTAGCTCTCCTTCTGACAACAACCTGCAATCAGATAATGCCATTAACAGTCAACATTTCATCAGTTTCCATTTCTTCCCCTCCACTTTTCTCTCTCAGTCCTCTTCTGTATGAGGCTCTTAACTCCATTTCCCACCTCTAGACAATTGTGTAGGGCCAATGTCACTACCCAAAGAACTCTGGGGATGTGGGCTCAAATCCCACCATGCCACATAGTGAAATATGAATTCAATAAAAAACCTGTTATTAAAAAAGTAATCTGATTTTCATTAAATGCCTAATGAGGTGTTACCTTTTCCTGTATTGATGTACTTATGCCTAACATCATTAATGTCCCTTAGGGAAGGAAATCTGCCATCCTCACCTGGTCTGATCTATATATGATTCCAGACCCAAAGCAATGTAATTGGTCTGAACAAGAACAGACAAGGTAGATGCAGGAAGGAGGTTCTTGATGACCAGGGAGCCCAGAACTAGGGGTCACAGTCTAAGGCTTTGAGGTGGGCCATTTAGGACTAAGATGAGGAGAAATTTCTTTCCAAGAGAGTGGTGAGCCTGTGGAATTCTCAGCCACAGAAAGCAGCTGAGGCCCGAAAATTAAATGCTTTCAGCAAGGAATAAGGTCTGGTTCTTAAAGCTAAAGGGATCATTGGGTGTGGGGAGAAAGCAGGAACAGGATACTGAGTTGGCTGATCAATCATGAACAAAGTGAATGGCAGAGCAGGTTCAAAGGGTTGAGTGATCTACTCTTTCTATTTTCTATGTCTCTAACTGTCCTCAGGGCAGTCAGAGATGGGCAATAAATGTTGGCCTAACCAACAATGCTCATATCCTAGGAATGAATGAAAAAGAAATGCAACAATTGCAGGCCCTGAGTGTCATACCACATGAATCAGTTTGAATGAGGCCAAGGGTCGGTCTTTTCTCTGAGATTTCTCTAGCTCTTTTGCCTCTCATGCATTCCCAATGCTCATCACTCCATCCCTGGCTGCTCTGCATTCTGCTACCCAAGTCCTAAATTCTGGAATTCTCTTCCGAAATTCCCCCCTTTAAGGCGCTAAATCCTACGTCTCTGACCAAGTCTTCTGCTCTCATTTGCTGACATCTCATGTGGCATGGTACCAATGTTTGCCCTAATAGCGTTCGCAAAGTGCCTTAGACACGTTATACTATGGTAAACGGCGTTACAATGAATAATCGTTGTTAATGAGAGAGGGAGAGTGTGTTTCTTGGCTACAATCTGAACTTCGGATCAAACTAATGGAGAGAAGCATGACTTTCTAATTCAGACCAATGATTCTTCAATCATTCTGTTTGACTGGCCCTTTTACAAATCACTGTCTCAAATCTAAAATATAAAATGACCTCATCTTCATTATCAGAAAGTGAATTTTTTTTAACAATCCTTTCTTTAAGAAAACAGAGCAGCAATTTCATGACTACTTCATTGATGAAACCAACTAGAGATAACAATCACTATTGACTGAACTATCCTTAGTATGATTAAAGATTTTTTTAATGGTGAATCATTGGTTAGGCCAGATTTTATTGCCCGTCCCTTATTGCCTTGAAAAGGGGAGAGTGGTGAACTGCCTCTGCATCGACTGCAGGCTTTGGGATGTAACTACACCCACGCGGTTCCAGGTTCTAAAAAAGGGTCACTGGACTCGAAAAATTGACCCTGTTTTCTCTCTCCACAGGTGCTGCCAGACCTGCTGAGTTTCTCCAGCAATTTCTGTTCTTGTTTCAGATTTTCAGCATCTGCAGTTCTTTATTTTATTTTAGCATCCACACTGCTGTTCAGGAGGGAGATCACGGTCCACATCCCCAAACAGTTCACAAATCGTACCTAATACAAGTAGCATACTGTCAAACTAGCACTCTGACCAATTTACAATGCACAACATTCTCATTCTCTTATTATTTTAATTTTTAAAAGTATTGCTTCTCATAAACAGAGGAGTTTGTTTTCGCTCCAATTCTGTAACAGATATATACTCCATCATGATTGGATATCTTGTGGATGCTTTACAGACCAGTCCAAATCCAACACATTTTCTTTGTGTTATATAATCAAACAAGAAGTTTACATATCGCAACACGACTTAAGGGAGAAAGAGTGAGGGCTTTTCGATGATTTTGAGAACAAGACCAACCAGAGATTGGTATGGATAGAAAATGTTGCAAATGCACAACAAGCAAGGCAGCTTTATGATGGCACTTGGCCAGCGATTGGCTCCATATTGCATCCAGGTCCTACAGCAGTACACTGTCTTCCACCTCCCCTCTTGCTGAGGATGATGCTCTCCACTAAACACCACCACCAGGAGTGAATGCCTGAATCTTGCAGGACTCCTTTTAATTGCTCTTAATTCAGACAAAATGCTTGTCTTTTCTCCCCTCATTTCCCTCACCAACGTTTGTGGCTCAGGCCCCGTCACTTCTCAGTTTCCAGGTTCGAATCCCGCCCACATTAAAGGTGAATTCCTCTTCACTATGGGGAGGGTCCTCGAGGTGGGACGTGAACCTAATGGAGATGGGATGGGTGGTGTCCCAGAACACAGGTTCCCCACCTCCCCACAGGTTTCCCTGTTGTCCACAGATGTGCAGCTTAGGTGGATTGGCCATGCTAAATTGCCCATAGTGTCCAGAGATGTGCAAGCTACATGGCTTAGCCATGAGAAATGTGGGGTTAAAGGGGTAGGGTGGGCATAGTGGGTCTGGTTGGGATACTCTCTGGAGGGTCAGTGTGGACTCAATGGGTTGAATGACCTGCTTCTACACTGTAGGGATTCTATGATTCTTTGATTCAGCCCGAATTAGGTTCTGGCTGGGAAGTCCTAAGCTCAATCTTCTTGGCCTGCTGCCAATCAGAACTCTTAAGAGTGATTACAGGGCACTTAAGGAGCTATTCCCAGCAGGACTACAATGATCTCAGTTCTGGTTGGGCTGGGAAAGGATTGGCCCACCTGACTGATATCCACCAAGTGTAGGCAGCCTGTCAGTTTGGTGGGGGCTGTGATCCTATGGCCTGTACACAATCGAGAGACTGGACGTTGAGCAGGAGGCCTGGGCCAGGAGCACAGCCTGACAGGCTGTGTTTTGATTCGGGAACTCTGTTGACCACCTCTCCTGAGGCTGTTCATCACCCTTTGATAGTTTTCCAGATTAAGCTGAATAATTTACCAAACACTACATCTCCATTAGCACCTGAACCAGTTAAGGTTATTAAGGGTGTCACGGTGGCTCAGTGGTTAGCATTGCTGCCTCTCAGCACCAGGGACCTGGGTTCAATCCCACCCTCGGGCAACTGTCTGTGTGGAGATTGCACATTCTCCCTGTGTCTGCGTGGGTTTCCTCTGGGTGCTCCGGTTTCCTCCCACAGTCCAAAGATGTGCAGGTTAGGTGGACTGGCCATGCTAAATTGCCCATAGTGTTCAGGGATGTTTAGATTAAGTGAGTGAGAGGGTGATGGGTCTGGGTGGGGTTCTCTGAGGGTTGGTGTGGACTTGTTGGCCTGTTTCCACACTGTAGGGATGCTATGGACTATGAACAGTAAATAAACTACTGGTTAACCAACCCTCTTGAGAGCTGGTCCATAAATATCCAGGAACTTCAATTGATAAATGTGAAATAAAATACTAGTCTCTTCAAAGTTGATCATTAAACAACTGGATTGTTGGGATATCCCCATCTGGTTCATGCCCTTTTGGGAAGGAAATCTGCTGTCCTTACCTGGTCTGGTCTACACATGACTCCAAACATGATTGGCTCTTAACTGCCTCTGAGGTGAACAGCAAAGTCACACATTTGTAGCAAACTGCTGCAGAAAAAACATTTTTGTGAGTGTCCCTGCATCCCATGGACTGCAGGAATTCAAGACGGTGACTTGCCAATATTTTCTCAAGAACTGTCATGAATGAGCAGCAAATGCTTGTTTGTCCGTCCAAATTCCATGAATTGATTTTTCGAAGGAAAAACCCATTGAACAGATCTAGAGAAGTACGGGCAATCAGGACGAATGCATTTATCAAAGGATAACCAATGATGCAGGATTGAGATAGGGGTGTACTTACAAACACTGCAATCCCAGTTAGGAAAGCCAGGGCGATGATAATGATAATGGCTGCAAAACCAGGCGAAATGGTCTTCATGTTGATTCGTGGAGGCTCATTGTCAAAGAACCAAACCTGTACTGACTCCCTTTCAACCTGCAGGCTCTTTCCATCCACTTCCAGGGTGAATTTGTTCATCTTTAGCTGCAAAGTGGAGACATTGTTGAGAACAGCAACAGAGAAACGTTTGGCTGACGCACTCTCAGCTCTGTGAGCTTAACTTAAAGCAACCGAATAAATGCAGATCAGATGCGCAAAACATCAACTCAGGTCAGCTTGAAATAGGAAAGATGGAACTTGCATTTACATACATCCTACATGACCTCATGACAACTACTACATTTAAAATGCATCTGGATGGGTACATGATTAGGAAGGGTTTAGAAGGATATGAGCCAAATGCTGGCAAATGGGACTAGATTAATTTAGGATATCAGGTCGGCATGGACGAGTTGGATCAAAGGGTCTGTTTCCATGCTGTACAGCTCTATGACTCTATGACCTCTGGATGTCACAAAGTATTTACAATTAACAATGTTCCTAATGGATGTAGAAATTGTTATAATGTAGGAAACGTGTGTCAATGTATAATCTGGGAATATGAGACTGTTCATACACACTTCATTGCTAACCGTAGTGATTGGGGATCTAGGTTTGTTGGAACTTGGACAGTCAGGTGGTGGAGATTGCACAGTTGGAGCTTAGTGTTTATAAGATTACAAGGTTTATTCACAGGGACACAAGTATTTCACACACCTTCAGCCTATATCCACTTTGTCAGTTTGCTCCTGTATACATGTGCCCTAGTTAAACTGAACACAATTAAGTGCTGACTGATAAGATTGAACTAATAAATTTCATTTCTCTCTCATTTTTTTTCTATTTAGATCTTATTTGAACAACACAAAATTTCTACAGAAAATTCACTTCTTTGAAACCCACGCACGTTGTGAGATTTTCCATCTCAGGTTATTCCTTTGGAAGTACAGCTAGACAGCACTGACAATGGCCCCTCCATCACTTTACTGATGATGCACTGTAGACTGATGGGGCAGTAATTGGCAGGGCTGGATTTGTCCAGTTTTTTGTGTTCAGGTCAGACTTGGGCAATTTTCCGCATTGTCGGGGAGATGCCAGTGTTGTAACTGTACTGGAAGAGCTTGGCCAGAGGAGCGGCAAGTTCTGGAGCACAAGTCTTCAATTGTTGGAATGTGGCCAGGACCCATAGCCTTCACAATATCCAGCGTCTCCATCTCTTGAAATCACGTGGAGTGAATGGAATTGGCTGAAGACTGGTATCTGCGATGCTGGGAACCACTGGAGGAGGCCGAGATGGATCATCTACTTGGCACTTCTGGCTGACGATTGCTGCAAATGTTTCAAGTCCTGACATTTATAGCCTGGTGCTACTCCTGGAATGCCCTCCTGCACTTGTCATTTATCCTGGGTTGACCCCCTGGTTTGGTGGTCAGGGTACAGTGGGGAAAATATTTAGCCAGGAGATTACAAATACTGGTAAAAAAAAATTCTGCTGTTGGTGATAGCCCTCAGTGCCTCATGGATGGCCAGTTTTGAGTTGCTAGTTTTGTTTTGAATCTATCCCATTTAGCACAGTGATAGTACCACACCGCACAACGGAGGGTATTCTCAATGTGAAGATGGGACTTTATCTCCACAAGGCCTGTGCGGCAACTACTACTACTGACACTAAACTGATGGATTAAGTGGATTTTTTCCCTTGTCGGTTCCCTCACGTCCACCTCCCAGCACCCCCACAGTCTAGCGGCTATGTCCTTTAGGACTCAGCCAACTCAGCCTGTAGTGGTGTTTCCATTATTGTGTCCTTGCTCCCTCCAGTTGTTTCACCAGCTGAGACGCTGGGGGGAGGGTGTGCTGTGGTGTGATGGGTGGCACCCAGTTGGAGGTTTTCTTGCTCATATCTGATCTGATGCCACAAGATTCCAGCCGTGGAGTCAATCTTTAGCTTTCCCAAGTTTACTCTGGTGGGTCTGTCCTTGTGGTCAAATAGGTCATACCTAGGGATTATGATGATCATTAGATATAGGAACAGAAGTAGACCATTCAGCCCATCAAGTCTGTTCTGTCATTCAATGAGATTGCGACTCATCTGACAATGCTCAACGCCTTTTCCTCGCCTGTTGCCCATAACCGTTGATTCCCTTACTGATTAAAAATTTCTGTCTCAGCCTTGAAGACACCTAACAATCCAACCTCTTTTGTGGTAAAAAAAATTCCACAGATTCACTACTCTCTGAGAGAAGAAATTCCTTCTCATTTCTGCCTTAAATGTGTGACTCTATTATTCTGAGATTATGCCTAAACTCTACCGCAAGGGAAACCAACCTTACTCCATCTAACTCGTCAATACCTCTAAGGATCTTGAGGAACACTGCAGGTCAGGCAGCATCAGAGGAGCAGGAAAGTCAATGTTTCGGGTTAACACCCTTCATCAGGGAGGGTGTAAACCTGAAATGTTAACTTTCCTGCTCCTCTGATGCTGCCTGACCTGCTGTGTTCCTCTAGCTCTACAGTTTATTGACTGTGACTTCCGCATCTGCAATTCTTGCTATCTCCTATCTTCTACCCTCTAAGAATCTTACATGCTTTATTAAAGCTACCTCTCACTCTTCTAAACTCCAATGAATACAAGTCCAACCTACTCAACCTCTCCTCATTCCTCTATACTTAGAACCAGCCTTATGAACCTTCTCTGGACTGTCTCCAATGCCAGTATATTATTCCTTACAAAGGGAAGCTAAACTATTCACACTAATCTAGGTGTATTCTAGTGCTTTGTATAATATTAGCAAAACCTCCCTATTTTTATACACCATTCCCTTTGAAATAAAGGCTAATAGTCCATTTGTTTGTGCTGACACCTGCTCAAACTGGATGTTTTATGCATGAGGACTCCCAAATCCCTTTGCTTTCTGCAATCTTGCTCCAATTAAATAATATTCAGCTCTTCTATTCTTCCTGCCAAAGTACATAACCTCATGTTTTCCCACATTATATCCCATTTTCCAATTTTTTGCTTAAGCCATCTACATCCCTCTGCTGACTCTGTATTGTCATCACCACTTGTGTTCCCACCTATTTTTGTGTAATTCGCCAACTTCAATCTACTTCATTCATTTTCCTCATTGAAGTCATTGACATATATAAATAATTGTGCCCCTGATCCCTATGGCACTAATTACAGGTCACCATTCTGAAAATGCCCCTAGTGAGGGTGGTGTCTGGGGCATTATCTGCAAATGTGTTAACACAAACAGCACAATGCATGACTAATCTGTGGCTCAGCTGGAAGACATAGAAACTCTCCCAATTTTGCACAAGTTCCCAGGTGTTCCGAGATGTTAGTAAGGAGGACATTGCAGGGTCCAAAGAGTTGTGTTTGCTGTTGTTGTTTACTGGTGCCACGTTCAGTGCCAGGTGGTTCATTCCTGTTTGACTTTCTGTAAGATTTTGATACATCTCGATGGTTTTATAGGCCCTTTCAGAGGGCAGTTAAGAATCACCCAAGTTATGTGGGTCTAGAATCACATGTAGGCCTGATTTTTTTCTATTTGACTTGACTTATTACTGTCATGTGTACCGAGATACAGTAAAAAGTGTTGGCTTATGTGCTTTATGGGCAGGTCATACTATTCAAGTGCATCAGGGTAACAGAACAGGGTGCAGGATACAGTGTTACAGCTGCCAAGAAAGTACAGAGAGGGATGAACATTAACATTAAAGAGGTTCGTTCAAAAGTTTGATAACAGCGGGGAAGAAGCTATTCTTGAACCTGTTCGTACACGTATTCAAACTATTATATCTTCTGCCTGATGAAAGAGTGTGGAAAAGAGTATAACCAGGGTGTGAGGGGAATGATTATGTTGGCTGCTTTCCTGATGCAGCGGGAAGTATAGATGACCAGTTAAAGACAGCAAATTTTGTCCCTAAATGACATTTGTGAGTCGGTTGAGTTTTCTTTTTAATGACAATCCTGTAGTTTCACGATGATCAGTTTCTTATTCACGAATTATTAATTAGTTGAATTCCCCAGCAGCTGTGGTGGGATTTGGACTCCTGTGTCCCAATTATTAGCCAAGGGGTCTGGGTTACTGGTAACATAAGCACAGGACTTTTGATGTGACAGTGGATTGAGCGCTGGGAGGGTGAATCAGGAGCTGTACTCACATCTCTCTCAATGTAATAGGCCACAGTGGAGATGTCAGTTGGGTCTTTTGTACCATTCTCACCCAGCCGGATGCTGATTTCTCGGGATATCTCATGGACCTGTTTACCGAGAGAACAGGAAGACAGACGGTCAGTTCTACCAGGCAGCCGAGGTCCCTGCTAGTACCTGATGGTATAACTGGAGTCTGTGGGTTCCTGTTACTTACTGCGTTTGAAAGATTTGATCAATTTTCTCCGTCGTAATTTGGGGAGGCAGGTTGGATAAGCCTTCGCTCTTAAAAAAAATCCTTTGGTTTATTTTTTGACGTTTGTCTGAAAGCCCTGTATTAGGTAAGGTTCGTGCATAGTGACTGCATTGTTGGACTACTTAGTCAGACTCACTGCAACTTGTGAGTTTGAACTCAGCTTTTCAAATGCTAAATAAGTCTGAAATAAACGACTACAAGCAGGAATGGTGAAATGCAAAATTGCCAGATTGTGTTAATGCCCTATCTGGTTCACTAACACGCTTTAGAGAAGGAATTCTGCCGTCCTTACCCGGTCTGGCCTACATGTGACTCCAGACCCACAGCAATGTGGATCAGTGAGCCTCACACGGTCAGGAAGGAGAGAGCACATCCAGAGTGAGGCACAGCCCGAGATAACTTGAGGCCCAGGATCAGTGGCCCAGCATAAAACAGTGACCTCACAGGTAAACCATAAATTCATTGGTTGATGACAGCTAGCCAGTTTTACTACCTATTACAGGTTACTTTCAGATTGAAGGTGGACAATGGGCTGCTGGAAATGAGGCTGGAGGAGTAGTAATATGGAACTAAGAAACGGCAGAGGAACTGAGTACGAACTTTGCATCAGTCTTCACAGTCAGGGGGGGCAGAGGTGAGTGTAGTAGCTGTCACTAAGGAAAAGGTGATGAGGAAGCTGAAAGATCTGAAGGTGGATAAATCAGTCAGACCAGATGGACTATTCCCCAGAATTGAGGAGATTGTGGAGGCATTGGAGGAGATCGTTCAGGAATCATTGGAGTCAGGGAGGGTCGCAGACGACTGGAAAATGGCTAATGTAACACCTCTGCTTAAGTAGGGAGGGAGACAGAACACAGGAAACTATAGGCCGGTTAGCCTGACCTTGATCATTGGTAAGATTTTAGAGTCCGTTTTTAAGGATGAGATTGTGGAGTACTTGGAAGTGTGTGGTAAAATTCGGTAAACTAGGGGAGTTCTGCAGGGGTCAGAGTTGGGACCACAACTATCTACGTGTTACATTAACAATCTAAATGAAGGAACTGAGGGCACTGTTGCTAAGTTTGTAGGTGACACAAAGTTAGGTGGAGGGACAGGTAGTGCTGAGGAAGTGGGGAGGCTGCAGAAGGACCTGGACATGCTAGGAGAGTGGGCAAAGAAATGGCAGATGGAATACAATATGGTTAAGTGTAAAATTATGCACATTGGTAGGAGGAGTAGAGACATAGACTACTTTCTAAACGGTGAAAAGCTTCAGAAATCTGAAATACAAAGGGACTTGGGAGTTCTAGTTCAGGAACCTCTTAAGGTTCAATTGGCAGTTAGGAAGGCAAATGCAATGTTAGCATTCATTTCATGAGGGCTAGAATACAAGGGCAAAACTGTACAGCTGAAGCTGTATAAAGCTCTGGTCGGGCCACGATTGATATACTGTGAGCAGTTTTGGGTCTCATATCTGGCTAAGAATATACTGGCCTTGGAGGGGGTCCAGGGGATAATTCCAGACACGAAGGTTTTGTCATATGAGAAGCAGTTAAGGACTCTGGGTCTGTATTCTATGGAGTTTAGAAGGATGAGGGGAGATCTGATTGAAACTTACAGAATACTGAGAAGCCTGGATAGAGTGGACATGAAGATGTTTCCACTAGTAGGAGACACTACGACCCAGGGGCACAGCCTCAGAGTGTAGGGATGATCCTTTAGAACTGAGATGGGGAGGAATTTCTTCAGCCAGAGGGTGGTGAATCTGTGGGAGTCATTGCCACAGAGGGCTGTGAAGGTCAAGTCTTTGAATGTATTTAAGGCAGAGATAGATTAATAAGGGGATCAAGGGGTCTGGGGAGAAGGCAGGAGAATGGGGCTGAGAAACATATCAGCCATGATAGAATAGTGAAGCAGACTCAATGGGCTGAATAGCCTAATTCTCCTCCTGTATGTTACGGTCGTATGGACTCTTAGCTGTCCCCTGAGATGACCCTTGCAAGTCACTCCTTTCTCATCACGAAGGCACCTTCCCAAGGTCAACTCTGTGCAAATCCTGAATGAATTCGGATTGAGTTAAGGAGGAACGTCTTCACTCAGAGGTTTGTCTTGGAATTCTCTACCCTAAAGGTCTGTGGATACTCCATTGTTGAATACATTGTAGGCTGCGATAGACTGTACGTTACTCTCTCAGGGAATCAAGGAACATAGGGAGAGGACAGAAAAGTGGAGTTGAAGACCAAATTCAGCCATGATGGAACTGAATGGTGGGGCAGGCTTGATGGAACAAATGGCCTACTGAAAACTCCTATTTCTTGGGACCTGGTGAATGTAAAATACGTACAATTCAAGAGACAGGTCTTTCTCCAAAGAACACGAGTGTAGAAAGGACTATCACTGCACATTTCCAAACAAAAGTAACTGGACTTAGAAAAACCTCAACATAAACAGTAAAAGGTCACCACTCAGGTATCAATCCTTCTTGAATTATCTGCACAATAATTACTGTATGCCTCATGGACTCATAGAGTCATAGAGTTGTACAGCATGAAAACAGTCTAACTCATCCATGCCGACCAGACATACTAAATAAATCCAGTCCCATTTGCCAGCATTTGGCCCATATCCCTCTAAACCCTTCCTGTTCATGTACCCATCCAGATGCCTTTTAAATGTTGTAATTGTACCAGCCTCCACCACTCCCTCTGACAGCTCGTTCCATACACACACCACCTTCTGCATGAAAATGTTGGTCCTTAGTTCTCTTTTAAATCTTTCCCCTCTCACCTTAAACCTATGCCCTCTAGTTTTGGACTCCCCTACCCTCAGGAAAAAGACCTTGGTTATTCAGCCTATCCACACCCCTCAGGATTTTATAGAACATAGAACATTACAGCGCAGTACAGGCCCTTCAGCCCTTGATGCTGCGCCAACCTGTGAAACCAATCTGAAGCCCATCTAACCTAAACTATTCCATTATCATCCATATGTTTATCCAATGAAACCTCTATAAGGTCACCCCTCAGCCTCCAATGTTCCAGAGAAAATAGCCCCAGCCTATTCAGCCTCTCCCTATATGTCAAACCCTCCAACCCTGACAACATCCTTGTAAATCTTTTCTGACCCTTTCAAGTTTCACAACATCCTTCCTATTATAGGCAGATCAGAATTGAATGCAATATTCCAAAAGTAACCTTCTTGCCACTGAGAATCTATTCTTTGCTTTCTTGTGATTTTAAAAAAGACCCTTGCTGGGGTAAAAGTGTGCACCGCACTTGCTTCATGCCCTGCTGAGGTACAGTCACCATCTTCAGTGTTAATGAGAATCACCGACCGTGATGCTCCCCAGGAATGAGTGGGAATTTATTGTTGTGTTCCTTGCTCCAACAGCATTATCAATACATCTTCAAGTAGCCAGCCCACATCTCCTAGATAGATGGGGTATAACAAACCTCTCTCTCTCCATTTGGGGAATGATCAACACCTCACCGTCCAGCTCATCAACCCATGTAAGGTACTATATGAGCCAACACTCAGAGATGTGCCTGACGTGGTTTAAAGATATCACAACAACAAACTGTGTTAGTATAGCACCTCTCAATGTGAGTAAATATCCCACAAGTGCCTCACAACACCCATCATTCATCAGCACCCATAGAACATAGAACAGTATGGCACAGTACAGGTCCTTCGGCCCATGATGTTGTGCCGAAATTTTACCCTAATCCTAAGGTCTATCTAACCTCCACCCCTACCTTATACTATCATCCATATGCCTATCTAGTTGCTGCTTAAATGCCGCTTAATGAGGCCAACTCCACTACCCTCTCCGGCAATGCATTCCACGCTCCGACCACTCTCTGAGTAAAGAACCTACCTCTGACGACTCCCCTATATTTACCTCCACTCACTTTAAAACTATGCCCCCTCGTAATAGCTAACTCCACCCTAGGAAAAAGTCTCTGGCCGTCCACTGTATCTATACCTCTGATCATTTTGTACACCTCTATCAAGTCACCTCTCATCCTTCGTCATTCTGAAGAGAAAAGCCCTAGCTCTCTCAACCTTTCCTCGTAAGACCTTCGCTCCATTCCAGGCAACATCCTGGTAGATCTCCTCTGCACCTTTTTCAACACTTCCACATCTTTCCTGTAATGAAGTGACCAGAACTGGACACAATACTCCAGATGTGGCCGAACCAGGCTTTTGTACAGCTGGAGGATAACTTCACGGCTCTTGAACTCAGTCCCTCTATTAATGAAAGCTAACACACCATACACCTTCTTAACAACTCTACCCACCTGGTTGGCAGCTTTCAGGGAACTGTGACCATGAACCCCAAGATCCCTCTGCTCCTCCACACTGCCAACAATCTTTCCGTTAACTCTGTATTCTGCTTTCAAGTTTGTCCTTCCAAAATGAATCACCTCACACTTTTCAGGTTTAAACTCCATTTGCCACTTCTCAGCCCAGCTCTGCATCCTATCAATGTCCCTTTGTAACCCAGAACAGCCCTCTGCACTGTCCACAACGCGACCCACCTTCGTATCGTCCGATAACTTGCTAATCCACCCTTCCACTCCTTCATCCAAATCATTTACAACAATCACAAATAGAAGAGGACCCAGAACAGATCCTTGTGGTACACCACTCGTAACTGAGCACCATGTTGAGTATTTTCTGTCCACAACCACCCTTTGTCTTCTAAGGGTCAGCCAATTCTGAATCCAATCTGCCACATTTCCCCCTATCCCATGCCTCCTTACCTTCTGCATGAGCCTACCATGGGGAACCTTATCAAACACCTTACTCAAATCCATGTTTACCACATCCACTGCTCTACCTTCATCCACGTGTTTGGTCACCTCTTGAAAGAATTCAATAAGGTTTGTGAGGCACGTTCTACCCCTCACAAATCCATGCTGACTGTCACGAATCAATCTGTGCCTTTCCAAGTGATCATAAATCCTATCTCTCCTTTCCAATAATTTGCCCACCATGACGTAAGACTAACTGGCCTGTAATTTCCAGGGTTATCCCGATTCCCTTCATAGGCATGATGGCTCAGTGGTTAGCATTGCTGCCTCACAGCGCCAGAGACCTGGGTTTGATTTCAGCCTTCGGCGACTGTGTAGAATTTGCACATTCTCGCCGTGTCTGCGTGGGTTTCCTCCGGGTGCTCCGGTTTCCTCCCACAGTCCAAGATGTGCAGGCTAGGTGGATTGGCCATGCTAAATTGCCCCATAGTGTTCAGGGATGTTTAGGTTAGTGGGTTAGACAAGGGAAATGTAGGGGTAGGGGAATGGGTCTGGGTGGGATGCTCTTCAGAGGGGCGGTGTGGACTTGTTGGGCCGAATGGCCTGTTTCCACACTGTAGGGATTCTATGATCAGTAGAGACACTAAGCTTGGCAAGAGATAAGGGATGATAACAATAGTCTGATCAAAGAGGTAAACCTCAAGGAGTGAGGGAAAAGAGGAGATTTAGGCAGAGAGGGTACTGCAGAGTTTAACACCAAGGTAGCCAATGATGGAGCAACTAAAATAGGGAGGTGGGGGTCACTCCTGAGGCAAGACACTCCTGAGGAGTGGGGTCGTAGGTTAGGTAGAGGTTCCAGAGACAGGAAGGGCCAAACTAGACCAAAGTGTAATTTGATAATGAGGATGAGAGTTACAGTACGATATCAAGGTGCAGCTTACCTGTTGATGGTTGACTGAAGGTGGAGTGTGTGGGTGCAGCCAGGGGGGAATTGGAACAGACAAGTAACTATGTGGGCAATGTTATGGAGATTAATGACAGCCTGAATATGTTGCTCATCTCGGGATCAAAAATGACAGCACCATTACGAACAAACCGGTTTAGTATTGCACTGTTGCCAAGAAGAGGAGATGGAGTCAGTTGCTAGGGAACAGAGTTTAGAATGGAGACCAAAAAAAGCATCAGTCTTCCCAAAAACTAACTGGAGGGCATTTTCTGTTGACCCAGCATCAGATGTCAGCTTATCGATGTTAAGAAATCAGAGATAGTGGAGGTATTGAGAGCGCTGCTTGGAAAGGTCAGACTGGGGTTAGCGTATGTGTGTAAACTGACTTGTGTTATTGGAGGGAGCTGTCACAGAATCACAGAGTCATTATGGTGCATAAGTAGGCCATTCAGCCCATCATATCCACACTAGCTGTAACCCTTCTCCTAATCTCTTCCTTTTTCCCCATATCCCTGCCACACCATTACTATTCAAATAAGCATCCAATACTCCTCTTGAGTTTCTCAATTGTGTGAAATAGTTTCTCCTGACTTCACCCTGGCTTGTTTTGCACATCACTTTAAATCTATGACCTGTCATTCCTGTTCCTTTTACAGTGCGAACAGCTTCTCCCAATCTACTCTGTCCAGCCCGGTCATAATTCTGAAAATCTCTATCAGGTTTCCTCCAGGGACACAGTGCAAACATCTTCAATGTATCCTCATAGCTGAAGTCTCTCATCCCTTCAAACTATTCTTGTAAACTGCTTCTGCACTCACTGTTCTCAAGGGACTACATGGAGATGGGAGATAGGGAGAGAAGGAGATCCTCAGGGGAAGCCAAAGATGCTTTGGGAGCAGACAGAGAAACCATTGTATGTGACACTGACTGGTCGCGTAAGCATTTAATCAGGTCGGAAACATTGCACACAGCTGGATGACAGTGGGAAGACATTGCAAGAAGAGAATTGTGGGCAATTGTGGTCAAGAAGAGAATGTTTAAATCATCACAGTCACAAAGAGTGTCATTTCTGACTTTGATAGAGACATAACCATAAGGGAAGAAAAGAACTCACATTTCTGTGCCAGGTCGTACAGTGGCTCAATGGTTAGCACTACTGCCACATAGCGCTAGTGTCCCAGGTTCAATTCCACCCTCAGGTGACCCTCTGTGTGGAGTTTGAACATTCTTTCCATGGGCTTCATCCCACACTCCAAAGGTGTGCAGATAGATTGACCATGCTAAATTACCCATAATATCCACGTATGTGCAGGCTAGGTGGGTTAGCCATGGGAAATGCCAGGTTATAGGATGGGCCTGGGTGGACACAATGGGTCAATTTTTTTTTCTTTTTCTTTATTCATTCATGGGATGGGGGCGGCACTGGCTAGGCAGCATTTATTGTCCATCCCTAATTGCCCAGAGGGCAGTTAAGAGTCAACCACATTGCTGTGGGTCTGGAGTCACATGTAGGTCAGACCAGGTAAGGATGGCAGATTTCCTTCCCTAAAGGACATTAGTGAACCAGATGGGTTTTTCCAACAATTGACAATGGATTCACGGTCATCATTTGACTCTTAGTTCCAGATATTTATTGAATTCAAATTCCACCATCTGCCGTGGCAGAATTTGAACCCGGGTCCCCAGAACACTATTTGGGTCTCTGGATTAACAGTCCCCTTTGATTGGCCTCTTTGATACTATTATACCCTTACAGCCAGTGATGAGTTTTTGGAGCGTAGTCCCTGTCATGATGCGGAAAACTTTGACAGAAATTTTGGACACAGGCAAGGTCCCAAAAACTAACATGCAACAAACGTTCAGGTAAAAGCAAAGTCCTGCAGAGGCTGTAAATCTGAAATAAACTCAGAAAGTGCTGCAGAAATACAGCAGGTCTGGCAGCATCCCTGGACAGAGAGACACACAGTTAATGTTTTGAGTCTGGTGTTACTTCTTCTGTTCCTGTTTTTCCATTAAATGATCTGTATTAATGTTTTATTTGTTTAAAGGATCTGGACATCATTGGTTAGACCAGTATTTATTGCTCATCCCTAATTGTCTGGGAGCAGTTAAGAGTGAACCACATTGCTGTGGGTCAGGAGTCACATGTAGGCCAGAGCAGATGAGGATGACAGTTTCCTTCCCTAAAGGACATTAGTGAAACAGATAGGTTTTACACCAGTCAGTGTTTCTTCATTCAGAGATGGTAGGAACCGATGATGCTGGACTTTGAGATAACAAGGTGTGGAGGTGTTTCTTCATTATCACTTTACTGAGATTGACAATATCTGAGTTATTTATTGAATTTTTAAATTCCACCATTGGCGTTGGTGGGAATTGAACCCAAAGCATCAGGATTACTACCCCACCGAGTGACCTGACTACAATGCTGTCATCTCCCCATTTCTAGGGAACCACTCCACAGCCAAACCCTCTTTAAAATGTTAGCCAGGGGATCATTTACATCCACCTGAGAGGGTAAAGGGAGCCCTAGTTCAAGGTCTTATCCAGAGATGGTACCCCTGGCAGTGTGACACCCTTCAGTACTGCACGATGAGAGACAATCTAAATTTTGCACTCAAATGTTTAGAGCAAACATATGAACTTTTGACTGAGAGATGACAGGACTATATTTTTAATCAGGATTTTTTTTCTGTATTCATTCATGGGATGAAGGTTAGGCCAGCATTTATTGTCCATCCCAACTTGCCCAGTGGGCAGTTAAGAATCACCCACGTTGCTGTGGGTCTGGAGTCACATGTAGGCCAGACCAGGTAAGGATGGCAGATTTCCTTCCCTAAAGGCCATTAGTGAACCAGATAGGCTTTTCCTGACCATCTACAATGTATTCATGGTCATCATTAGGCTCTTAATTCCAGATTTTTATTAAATTCAACTTCCATATCTACCATAGCAGGATTCGAACCCAGGGGCCCAGAACACAAGCTGGGTCTCTGGATTAATAGTCTCGCAATAATACCACTCCGCCATTGTGATGGATTAATACTGACCAGGATACCTGAAAGATTCCTCATGCTCCCCTGAATAGCACTGTAGGAACCTGAAGTTAGGAATCAGATACTTGCCTTAATTTCCAGGATCTGAGTTGCCTTTAGCGTGTACTCTTTAACCAGTTTAATGGCCACCTTCCTGAAACACAAGAAACAAGTTACCTTCCTGACTCCAACTTTGAATTTCTCAGTGGTTAGTTTAGAAGTGGGGTTTCACTGTGAACAATGGGATTAACCTCCTGCAGTGTACAAGGACTACACCGGGACAGAGAGATTTTCATCAGGAAGAACTTACGAAGGTGGGTCTCTACACTCTTGCAAAGAAAAGGCTTATGTTTTGACAAAAGGAATAGAGGGATACAGATCCTGTAAATGAAGACAGTTTTAGTATGGAAGGGCAAAATGTGTCAGCACAGGCAAATACACAGCAGGTTTGACACAACTTGTAGGGAGTTAAAAAATTGAGTTAATGTGACACCAGATTGCTTGGATGTTCAGGCTGGTGGACAGTGGATGCACACTCTGGTATACAGTGGACAGTGAGAAGGTACAGGAGCTCTGGCTAACATTCCCTTCCCCTCCTGCCCAGTGATAGACACCAACTCGTTCAATACCACGTCACCACACACAGAGATTCCAAACGAACTCACCGGCGCAGAGCTTGCTCCTTCATCTTGAGGAAGACAAACTCCACTTTGAAGCTGAAATCGATCTGAATGAGGCTGTGGGAGAACAGGGAGAGGTAGGTTTACTCAATTCACCCTCACATAAATGGCTCACCAATTAACCTCATGCAAACATTTGTCCCTGAGTAAACTGAGTATGGGGGTGGCGTGGTGGCTCAGTGGTTAGCACTGCTGCCTCACAGCACCAGGGACCTGGGTTTGATTCCAGCCTCAGGTGACTGTCTGTGTGGAGTCTGCACGTTCTCCCTGTGTCTGAGTGGGTTTCCTCCGGGTGCTCCAGTTTCCTCCCACAGTCCAAAGACGTGCAGGCTAGGTAGATTGGCCATGCTAAATTGACCATAGTGTTCAGGGATGTGTAGATTAGGTATGCTTATAGGGGGGGATAGGTCTGGGTGGGATGCTCTGAGGGTCAGTGTAGACTTGTTGGGCCAAAGGGCATATCCCCACATTGTAGGGATTTGATGATTCTATGAAACAATATCAGGCAAATGCCAGGAAGGTGATTTATGATTAGAACAAAGCAGCTTTTCCTGATTTAGTCGGGGATGCCATACACCCATATATATTGCCTGTTACCTTGTCCCATTGGCAACGGAATTTACGAGGGAAACCAACACAATATTTCACAGATTTTGTGATTGGACCATTATGGATTTGACAACCTGTGACTTTAATCTCTTGGTTTTACAGAATTTGAGTATTGCTGGAAATGAATTGTGCAGTTGATGATTTTTATTACCAGGAAAGACGTTAGGATGCCAATTCCCAAAGGGGACAATGAGTGTGCTAAGAGTTAGACAAACAGATCATCAGGGAGGCCTGTGGTGTTGCGGATTTACTGGAATTTCACCCAGACACTGCTCTGCACAGAACAGGAACATGTCAGACATTGCACCTATTTCAAATTAAAGTAAAACATGGGAGGCTCAGTCATCCCTGGTACAATCTCCATAACAATGTCTGAACCAATCAGCAGCCTTTTCTCATGCAGCATAAATTGTTGCTCACTCTGAAATTTGGCATTCTTGCATCTGTCCTGACGATGGAAAAATCTCGATAGTGTGTCTCTTCTTTCACTGAGTACTTTTGTTTTGAATGAAATCAGCCACCATGAAACTCAAACAGGTTATACATCAGAATATAAGATATAGGAGCAGGAGTAGATCATTCAGCTCATCAAATCTGCTTCGTTATTGAATGCAATCAGAGCTGATCTTCAGTTTCAAACCAAGTTTAACAATTAATTACCCCAGATGAGTTTGTGGTAGTTGGAGATCACCTGGTCTATCACTGTCTCACTTGACTATGTGAAGTGAATCATGGATTGTGAAAATTTAAAATAATAATCGGATGCTGAGGAGTGATGTTATAGGGGTTATGAGGGGCATGGACAGGGTGAATAGCCAAGGTCTTTTCCCCAGGGTGGGGGAGTCCAAAACTAGAGGGCATAGGTTTAAGGTGAGAGGGGAAAGATTTAAAAGGGACCTAAGGGGCAACTTTTTCACGCAAAGGGTGGTGCATGTATGGAATGAGCTGCCAGAGGAAGTGGTTGAGGCTGGTACAATTATAGCATTTAAAAGGCATCTGGATGGGTACATGAATAGGAAGGGTTTAGAGGGATATGGGCCAAATGCTGGCAAATGGTACTAGATTTATTTAGGATATCTGGTTGGCATGGACGAGTTGGACCAGAGGGTCTGTTTCCATGCTGTACATCTCTATGACTGTATAACAATTCCAGGGAACAACTCTGCAAAACACACTGATACCATTACAGAGAGATCCGCTTTTCACATTAGGTAAATGTGGCCACTTCTGATCTGTTGTGCCAACATGTACATTCTGTGCCTATCATCAAGAGCTCTTGGAAAGGGTGGTTTAGGAAGAAATGGCTCAAACTGTTGTATAAAAGACAGTCTTTATTTGAAGGGGTTAACTGACATGATGAGATGAGCACGCCCCCATCAGGATAGGCCACCCCTCCGTTCCAGGAAGAAGTTAATCAATGTGTGTGCTTGAGTGTTCCAGTTCTTTTACAATTCATTCACGAAGTGGGCATCACTGACTGGACCAGCATTTATTGCCTATTTCGAATTACCCTGAGGGCAGCTGAGTCAACAACAATGCTGTGGGTCTGCAGTCACATGTAGGATAATAATTCCCTCCCTAAAGGACATTAGTGAACTAGTTGGTTCTTTTCCTGATAATCAGCAACGGATTCATAGTCATCATTAGATTCTTAACTCCAGACTTTAATTTAATTCAATTTCCATGTTTGTCATAGTGGGATTTGGACTCGGGTCCCCAGAACATCAGCTGGGTCTCTGGATCAATGACCTAGTAATGTTATCATGAGGCTATCTCCTCCCCAGTCAATGTGCTAGTATTACTGTAGGGAACAGTAATGTGTACTCACTCTTACTCAGTCTTGCAAGAGATTCTCATGTGTCCCAGATGTAATATTAATTATTATTAAGTACTTTGCAATAAACCATTACTGTTTGTTAAGACTGAGTTTATCTTCTGCCAAAGTCGACATCATTTCTCACTCGTATCAGCAGTTTAGGATGGATGCCAATAAGAAAGATTGCTAGCAGTGAATCTACCCAAGACATTACAGATGGCTCCAGTGAACATCACCACAGAGGATACCAGGCTGGCAGAGCTGCTATCTGTATATATACCATGGTGGCAGTGGTGAGAGTTCGGTATATATACCATGGATATAGTGGGGGGTATATCAGTATATATACCATGGATATAGTGGAGGGGATATCGGTATATGTACCATTGTGATAGTGAGGGGATATCGATATATGTACCATGGTGATATTGGGGGGATATCGGTATATGTACCATGGTGATAGTGGGAGGGATATCGGTATATGAACCATGGTGATAGTGGGGCAGATATCGGTATATATACCATGGTGATAGCTGGGGGGATATCGGTATATGTACCGTGATGATAGCGGGGGAATATTGGCATATGTACCTTGGTGATAGTGGGGGCATGTCGGTATTTATACCATGGAGATAGTGGGGGGGGATATTGGTATATGTACCATGGTGATAGTGGGGGGGATATTGGTATATGTATCATGGTGATAGCGGGGGAATATCGGTATATGTACCGTGGTGATAGCGGAGGGATATCGGTATATGTACCATGGTGATAGCGGGGGATATTGGTGTACGTAGAGTCATAGAGCCATACAGCATGGAAACAGACCCCTGCGGTCCAACTTGTCTATGCCAACCATCTTCCCAAACTAAACTAAGTCTTATTTGCCTGTGATAACAAGATGTAGAGCTGGATGAACACAGCAGGCCAAGCAGCATCAGAGGAGCAGGAAAGCTGACGTTTCGGGTCTGGACCCTTCTTCAGAGAAAGAAGGACCGTTCTTCATTTTCTGAAGAAGGGCCCAGACCCGAAACGTCAGCTTTCCTGCTCCTCTGATGCTGCTTGGCCTGCTGTGTTCATCCAGCTCTACATCTTGTTATCTCATATTCTCCAGCATCGGCAGTTCCTACTATCTCTTATTTGCCTGTGTTTGGCCCATATCTCTCTAAACCTTTCTTAATCATGTACCTGTCCAAATGTCTTTTTAAGTGTTGTAATTATACCAGCCTCCACCACTTCCTCAGGCAGTTCATTCCATATACACACCACCCACTGTGTGAAAACGTTCCCCCTAAGGTCCTTTTTAACTCTTTCCCCTCTCACCTTAGACCTATGCCCTCTACTTTTGCACTCCCCTACCCTGGGAAAGAACCTTGGCTATTCACCCTGTCTAAGCCTCTCATGATTTTGTAGAACTGTATAAGGTCACCCCTCAGCCTCCGATGCTCCAGTGAAAAACATTTATCCAGCTTTTCCTTATAACTCAAACCTTCCATCCCAACAACATCCTGGTAACTCTTCTCTGCACCCTCTCCAGTTTAATAATATCTTATTCAGGAATGGGAGGCAGTGGCCTAGTGGTATTATCACTGGACTATTAATCCAGTAACTCAGCTCATGTCCATGGCAGATGGTGGAATTTGAATTCAATATTTTTAAAAAATCTGAATTAAAAATCGACTGATGACAATGAAATCATTGTCGGAAAAACCCATCTGGTTCACTAATGCCCTTCAGGGAAAGAAATCTGCCATCCTTACCTGGTCTGGCCTACATGTGACTCCAGACCCACAGCAATGTGGTTGACTCTCAATTGCCCTCTGAAATGGCCCAGCAAGCCACTCAGTTGTACCAATCGCTACAAAGTCTCTTCAAGGGCAACTCAGGAATGGGCAATAAATGTTGGCCAGCCAGTGACACCCACGTCCCACAATTGAATAAAGAAGTTATTTTGTGGGAATTGTACTTGTCCAGGCAAATGGAGAGGATGTAAGAAGGGAAGGTTAAGAAGAGACTAATTGGACAGCTCCTTCCCACAGCTAGTAGTGACTGAATGGGCTGAATAGTCTCATCCAGCCCTGGTGCTACTGAGAGTAGGAAAGAGAGCGACTACCTGTCATCAAACAGCGGGGAGCTCCAGAAGGAAACATGGAACGTCTGGAGCTGTAGAACTTAGCTTGACTTTCTCCCCTACCCTACCCCACAATCTCACATTAGGGATTTAAGGTTCTTGCAAAGATCTGTAGCTCGGGTTGTGGACGAGGTTGTTGACTTGCTCGCCAAGCTGGCTTGTTATCATTCAGGCGTTTCATCACCATGCTAGGTAACATTGTCAGCGTGGCCTCCGACGAAGCGATGTTGTTCTACTGCACTTGGAATTTGTATGATCCGCTCCGTTACAGTGTGTACTGTCATTTCCGGTTTTGTTCTGCATGGGTTTGTATATAGGGTCTAATTCCACATGTTTGTTGATTGCTTTACGGGTTGAAAACCAGGCCTCTAGGAATTCCCATGCGTGTCTATGTTTGGCTTGGGCTACTATGGTTACATTGTCCCAGTTAAACTGATGGCCTTCAAAGTCCGAGTGCACAATGAACACCAGTTAAATGACACAATGAACTTTCCCTCATCTCAGTACACTCGGAAAATGAAGGCCATGGGACAACATGACCATCCTAGCTCAAGCCAAAAATAGACACACACGGGAACTCCTAGAGGCAATTTCAATTTGTAATGCAATTAACAAACATATAGAATTGGACCCCATATACAAACTCAAACAGAACAGAACCAGAAATGACACTACCCAACTTAACGGACCAGGCAGTATAAATTCCAAATGGAGTAGAACAACATTGCTTCATTGGAGGCTGCACTAATGATGATACCTAGTATGGTAACGAAACGCCTGCACGATAACCAGCCAGCTCGGCAAGCAAGCTCATAACCTTATATTAGGGATGCCTGCTTCCAGCTCTGGCTGAGTGCAGGGACCCACCCATACGTGCTCTCATACCCATGCCAGGCTGTGTCACCCATTCCCAAGCCATCCAGGGTGAGGAGTGTGGGAGAGTGTAGTGCGGGTCGTTCCTGAGAGAAAGCTGAAGGTCACAGAACAGAACTCACTGGACACGGACGAGCTGGTCACATTTGGGGTCATCGCCTGTCTTGTCGGTGAGCCTGACTCCAGCACTGTCCACACACCAGCAAAGGTTGGAGTCATCATCACACTGCTTGGCCTTGAAGGTGCCATTGGTCTCACAGTCTGGGTCATACAGGTCATCCACCCTCCTGCCACCAGGGTGGCTACTGGCCGTGCGCATCTTGTGAAGCATCTCCAGGTGCAATAGCCGGCATTTCGGGGTCACTGGAAAGATCGAAAGGAACCAGCGCATCAAAACCGAGGCAGTCGATACAACATATCTCAGGCACAGAGATAAGTACAGATAACACGGGATGTGGGTGTCACTAGCAGGACCAGAATTTATTATCCACCTCTAATTTCCCTTGAATTGAGTGTCTTGCTCAGCCAATCACAGGGCAGGTAAACATCAACCATATTGCTGTGGGTCTGGAGTCACATGTAGGCCAGACCAGGTGGGATGGCAGATTTCCTTCCCCAAAGAACATTAGTGAACCAGATGGGTTACTTCTTAAAGAAGCAATTGACTGCCATCATTTAGCCAGCTGTTTACTCTCTATCAAATTCGAATCTCACCATCCGTCATTGGTGGTAATTGAATACATGACCCAGAACATTCACCTGGATTACTGATCCAATAACATCATCTCCCCACATTTTTAAACATACTCTGACATATGTTGTACATTAAGTACACTTCAAATTTTCCTATATTTAATTGTATGAGCATGATAAACATTACTTTATATCTTATTCTTTACACTGTAAAAAATGTACATTTCTATAGCACCTTTCATGACTTAAGAGTATCTCAAGTAGCTTCATAGCCAACACAGTCATTTGAAAATCTGGTCACTGTTGTAGGAAATCCAAGAGTTGATTTGCATCCAACAAACACAACAAGGTAATGAGCAGAGGATCTGTTTTTCATGTGGTGCTGGTTGAAGGATTAACTGTTAGCTGGGTCACTGGGGAGAACTCCCCTGCTTTCTGTTTTTAACGTGGTGCTAAGTTTTTGAAAACCTCATCCTGGCTTAATGTCTCATGCGGAAGGCAACAGCCCTGACAACGCAGCACTCCATAAAACCATAGGAACTAGGAACAGGAGTAGGCCATTCAGCCCCTAGAGTCTGCTCTACCATTCAGTAGGATCATGGCTGATCCCATATTCCTCACGTCCACCTTCCTGCCTTTCCCCGTAATCCTTGATTCTCCGGCTGATCAAGAATCTCTCTCTGTCTCAGCCTTAAATATGCACAAGGTCTCTGCCCCCACAGCTGTCTGTGGCAAGGAATTCCAAAGACTCTCAACCCTCTGAGAAGAAATTCCCCAGCCTTAAATTGTCACCCTCTGCCAAGGTTTTTATGACCATGTTCTGGAGTGGAACTGAATCCCAGAAACCGGTGTGCTACCAAGAGAGCCACACATTGGGGGTTATATTACATGAGATAGACAAGATCCTATATGCTATGTATGTATATACAATATAGAAATATACCACATGGAACGTACTGCCCAAACTATAACTCTGTAAACTTAGCAGATGGCTCTTGTAGCACAGTGGCAATGTCCCTACCTCTCAGCCAAAAGGGTACAAGTCCCATCTATCCCAGTGGTGTATAATAACATTTCTAAACAGACTGATTTGGAACATATATAAATATATATATATATATTTAATTTATATAAAAACTAGTAGAGTACAAGCACAGCATTGTCCAATTATGGCATTAAATTGGTGATGTGCTACGTGTTCCAATTGCGATTAATTAATTTCCTGGTGCCGGAGTCTGACTGAGTATATGATTTACTGCTCCGTTAGCGTGTGGCAGCGTGGATGTGCCTGTAGTTTTTATAAGTTCATTGTTAAAGGTGGGGCCTTTCTGTACAGAGTGGAAAGTGAAGAGGTGCCTAGGTCAGATTTACATTCACACAGAGAACCAGTGCAGAGACAGAGTGACATGGTGACTCACATTGGTTACAGCTGACAGTCAGGTTGTCATAGCCACGGAAAACAGCCTCACAGGTTCCACAGCGATTCAGGTGGCAGGTCACATACTGGTTATACTTACAGCTGGCATCCTCACAGACTTCATCAAACTCACAGTTCTCTCGGGCTGGATAGGCATCAGGGCATTCATCATCTGGCACAGAGTGAGAGAGAGAGACAGAGAGAGGGGGCAGTCACTTCCTCTGGCCCCTCAGCAACTCCTCTGCTACCTTTCTCACAATTCTGTTCTTCATCCACACTTCCCCTCTTTCACAGGCCTCCCTCAGCTCCCTACTTCCCCCTCGCTCCCTCCAACCATCGGCTGACCCACTCCCCTCCCACCCCATTCCTCCTCCCTCCCCCTCAACCCACTCCATCATCACCCCCACTCCTCATCCCCCCATCCCACTCCGTCATCACCCCCACCCCACTCCTCCTCCCTATTCCCCAACTCATTCTGTCATCACCCCCCACCCCCATCCCCCCACTCCCCCCCACGCCCACCCCACTCATCATCCCCCCACCCCACTCATCACCTCCCATTCCACTCCTCATCCCCCTTTGTCCCACTCATCACCCCCTCTCGCTCCACTCCTCATCCCCTCACCCCACTCCTCATCCCTCCTCAACATGATGTTCTAGCTCCTATACGCAAAGATCTGAGCAATGAAGCTGTCTGCTGAAGTTCACCTTGTCGGCTTACCTGGTATCGCTGAGACTGTGTGAACATAATCAGTTAGCAGCAGCACCATAAACAGGAGGCCAGTCCTGCCCATGTCTGCGCTCCTCAGTGTGGAACCCCCTCACTCGCCACTCTCAGCAGAGTGCCAGTCTGACGGCCTAGTGACCAGATCACCTTCAGCTTTAGCAGGTTAAATTAGTCAGGCAAATGCTGGGCTGTTTATATTTAACAGCCTGGATTGTATATATACCTTCAAGGCACAACTTGTCTTTTAAGGACAGTCACCAAGCACCTGCCCAGAGTTTAGTTAATGTGTCCCTATTTCGTCACTGATATAAATTATAAATAGCCACTCTTGTACCAGGGAACTCAGGACAGCACACAAAGACTTGCGGACATGAATAAATGCAGAAAAAAAACGAAATAAAAACTGAAAGAACTGGGGATGCTGTAAATCAGGAACAAAAAGAGAAGTTGCTGGAAAAGCTCAGCAGGTCTGGCAGCATCTGTGAAGAAAATTCAGAGTTGACATTTCGGGTCCGGTGACCCTTCCTCAGAACTGATGGTAGCTGGGAAAATGTCGGTTTATATGCAGAACGTAGGGTGGGGGGGAAAGAGGGTAGGAGTAAACAATAGGTGGGCAGAGAGACCAAAGAGAGAGAAAGACAGTTGGATAGACAAAGGAGTTGCTAACAATCAGGCTGGGAAGGTGAATAGTTGTTAATGAGGACTGTTAGTGACTAACAACAGGGGTGTGTATTGCCAGACTATGTGGTAACAAGGCCTGGTGTGTGGGGTAGGGGACTAGGACATGGGAGAGTTCAGGCCCTAAAATTATTGAGCACAATATTGAGTCTGGAGGGCTGCAGGGTCCCTAAGTGAAAAATGAGGTGTTGTTCTTCCTGCTTGTGTTGAACTTCACTGGAACACTGCAGCAAGCCTGAGACAGAGATATTGGCCGTGGAACAGGGTGGTGTGTTGAAGTAGCAGGCAACAGGTAGTTCAGGGTCTTTTTTGCGAGATGTTCTGCGAAGCAGTCACCCAGTCTACGCTTTGTTTCCCCAGTGTAGAGGAGATCACATTGTGAGCAGCGAATGCAGTAGACTAGATTCTGGGAAGTCCAGGTGAAATGTTGCTTCACTTGGGAAGTGTGTTTGGGCCCTTGGATACTGGGGAGGGAGGAGACAAATGGGCAGGTGTTGCACCTTCGCCGGTTACAGGGGAAAGTGCTGTGGGGGGTGTTGGGGGTGAAGGAGGTGTGTACAAGGGTGTCCCGGAGAGAATAGTCCCTGCAGAAGGCGGACAAGAGAGGGGAGGGGAATATGTGTCCGGTGGTGGCATCTCGCTGGAGGTGGCGGAAATGGCGTCTGATGATCTGGATGTGGATGCTGGTGGGATGGTAGGTAAGGACAAGGGGAACCCTATCGCTGTTGCGGGAGGGAAGACAAAGGGTGAGGGCGGAACGGTGGGAGATGGGTTCGGTCCCACCTGAGGGCCCTGTCGACAACAGAGCTGGGGAATCCTCAGTTGAGGAAGAAGGTGGACATTTCCGAGGCTCCCTTGTCGAAGTTGGCCTCATCTGAACATATGCAACAGAGGCAGAGGAACTGAGAGAATGAGATGGAGTCTTTACAGGAAGCAGGATGTGAGGATGTACAGTCCAGGTAGCTGTGGAAGTCAGTGGGTTTGTAGTGGATACTAGTGGCCAGTCTATCCACAGGAACGGAAACAGAGATGTCGAAGAAGGGAAGGGAGGAGTCAGAGTTAGACCAGATGAAAGTGAGGGCAAGGTGGAAATTGGAGGCGAAATCAATGAATTTTTCCAATTCCAGACGAGAGAGGGAAGCAGCACCGATGATATCATCCACGTATCGGAGGAAAAGTTATGGGTGGGGGCTGGAGTAGGACTGGAACAAGGAATGTTCCATGTACCCCATCAAAAGACAGACATAACTGGGACCCATGTGGGTCCCCGTGGCTACCCCCTCTGACCTGAAGAAAATGAGAGGAGTTGAAAGAGAAGGTGTTGAGGGGGAGGATGACCTTGGCCAAGCGGAGGAGGATGGTGGTGGCTGGGGACTGAAAAAGAACTAATTGGACATGCTGGATTAAATAGGCGTTGTGAGATTTTTGTATTCATTCAGAGAATGCGAGTATTTAAATCCCCTGAAGATGGTTACCCATTTCCTCAACAATTACATTACTTCCTGGCCATTTGAGAGTCAGCCATATTGTTGAGAGTCTGGAGTCACATGTAGGCCAGACCATGTAAGGATAGCAGACTTCCTTCCCTGAAAGGCATTAATGAACCAGATGGGTTTTTAAATGACAGAAAATGTCTGGAAATACTCAGCGAATCTTTTGGCTTCTGTGGAGAGAAAACAGTTTAAATGACCTGAATCATTAACTCTGTTTCTCCCTTCAGACCTGCTAAGTTTCCCCAGCACTTTTGGTCTTTATGGGAATGTGGAATCTCTGTGGCCACTCTTACTGTGTCTCACTGAGACTCTATTTTAATTCTAGACTTTGATGGAAGTGAAATTTTGTAGCTGCCTTTGTGATATTTGAACTCAACAGTGCAGTTAAGTTGACATTTGGGATTAGAATGTGGGTGTAGATGTTTGTTTTGGGGCTTGGAGCCATTTTGTGCACCGAGAGGGGGTCCCTCCAGCCCTTGTAACGTGCCAAAAAGACCATTTCAACCCCAATCAGCTTACCCGGCCACCCACCTCCTGATACCAGGACCCAACCCTGGGAAACATCCCCAGGAACATCTTAGGGTCCATGCAAACCTGATGCCACCTCATTGTCTCAAGCCTACCATCAGGGGGCTAGGAAATTCAGGGTCTTCAGTGATTGATGAGTCAGATGGCCTGAAATATCTTAATAGGCTTAAACACTAAGAGATTTTTGCTTTGGGTTTCTGCTTTTAAATTCATCCACAGGATATGGATGTCGCTGGCTGGGTCAGCATTTATTGTCAGTCCCGGTTTTCCCCTTGAGAAGGTGGGAGTGAGAAACTGCTACAATCCACATGCTGCAGATAGACCCACAATGCCCTTAGGGAAGGAATTTGACCCAGCAACACTGAAGGAATGGCAATATGCTTCCAAGTCAGGATGCTGAGTGGCTTGGAGGCAAACTTTCAGGTTCCTAGGTATCTGCTGCCCTTGTCCCTCAAGATAGCAGAGGTCATGGGTTTGAAATGCGTTGTCTAAGGAGCTTTGGTGAATTTCTGCAGTGCATCTCATGGATAATTCACACTGCTGCTACCGACAGTCAGTGGTTGACGAGTGAGTGCGGTGCTAATCGAGCGGGCTGCTTTGTCCTGAATGATGTCAAGTTTCTTAAGTGTTGTTGAAACCAAACTCATCCAGGCAAGTGGGTGGGGGGGTGGGGGTGGTATTCCATTTCACTGCTGACTTCTGCCTTGTAGATAATGGACAGGCTTCTGAGGAGTGAAGAGGGGGAGTTGCTGGTTGCATGTTTTCATTAGATCGAAACAGTTTTAATCAAAATTACAAACTTTCATCTATGTCTTCACAATATGAGATGAGAAGGGTCGATACCAACAAGCAGTTATTACAAGTTTAAAAGTTTAATCAAAACTTACATTAGCTTATCAAATTGAACACAGCATTATTCCAATTCTGAGAAACCAATTTGTGATAATCAGTGACAAACATATTGCTGCAGCTGGAGCAGTGACATAGGTACTTAGCAGTTCATCAAACTGATCTCATCAGAGATCGCAAGAACTGCAGATGCTGGAGTCTGAGATAACACAGCGTGGAGCTGGAGGAACACAGCAGGCCAGGCAGCATCAGAGGAGCATGAAAGTTGATGTTTCGGGTGAGGACTCTTATTCAGAAAAAAAGTCCTCGATATCTCATGTGTAAGTTGAGCCCAATGGGTTCAATGCACTGCACTTGGATTTGGAATTTCATGTTCAAATCTGTCCAATGCCTCAGTCTTCCTTGTCACCCAAACCTCGTTCACCCTCCAAAAATTCTGCCTTCCAGCAAATTTGGCCTCACATACTCTCATCACTCTACGACTGATCTTCAACCATTTAATTCTTTCTGGAATCCCTCCTTAAACCTCTCTGCCTCTCCTCCTTAAACAGCCCCCTCCTCTTAAATCCAAACTCTTCAATAAACTTTTAGGAACACTAACCCATTCCTTCTCTGGTTCAGGGAGGTGTGGTGTGGTGGTAGAGTCGCTGGACTAATAATTTACAAATGCGTGACACGGTGGAATTCAGGGCGGCACGGTAGCTCAGTGGTTAGCACTGCTGCCTCACAGTGCCAGGGAATCGGGTTCAATTCCATCCTCGGGTGACTGTCTGCGTGAGTTTGCTCTGGGTGCTCCGTTTTCCTCCCACAGTGCAGTTAGGTGGATTGGCCATGTTAAATTGCCCAGTAGAGTTCAGGAATGTGCAGACTGGATGGATTAGCCATGGGAAATGCAGGGTTACAGGGATAGGGTAGGAGAGTGGGTCTGGGTGGGATGCTTTTCGGAGGGTCGGTGTGGACTCAATGGGCTGAACGGCCTGCTTCCACATAGTCATAGGATCCCTACAGAGTTGGATCCTTAAAAACAAGGGGTTTATGTTGGACAATTTAAGGGGCAAATTGTGTTTAAAAAGCACTTGAGAGAAAAGTGCATACCCTTAGCCAGCTTGTTACACTATTTCATTTGAATAAGAACTATGCTACGAACTGCTGTGCAAGGCCAGCACATAGCAGGCTACTCAGCCCATCAGGTCCATGCAGACTCTCTGCAAGAGCAGCTCCACTAGTCCGCCCTCCCTGTCTGTTCCCTGTAGACCTGCAGTTTCTTTTCTTCAGCCGTTGAACTGTTAGGTTCGTGCAGGGTGAAGAAAAATTACAAGGAATTCACTCACATCCAACATTCAACCAGGTGCCTAGGAACTGAAATTGAGAGCTTAGTTTAACAAGAAATAAAGCATATGTAAGGTTTAGGAAACTGAAGACAGAAAGAGATCTTGAAGAATATGAAGAAAGGAAAGAAGTCAAACAAGGAACTAGGAGGGTTCAAAGTGGTTATGGCTTTGGCAAATAGGATTAAGGAAAATCCCAAGGCATTTTATACATATACAAGGAACAAGAAGATAGCAGGGGCAAAGGTACACCCATTCAAGAGCAAAAGAGGGAATTTATGCATGGAGCTGGAGGAAGTGGGTGAGGTCCTTAAATGATCAGTATTCACAAAGGAGAAGAACATGATGTATGGTGAGCCTTGGGAGAGGTATGTCGATATTCTAGGGCATGTCAATATAAAAAAAAAGCGTTGGGTGTTTTGAAAAGCATTAAGGTAGACGTGTTCCCCGGACCTGATGGGATCTATCCCAGAATGCTGAAAGAGGCAGATGAGGAAATTACTGAGGCCTCGTTGAAATCTTTGTATCTCCTTTAGTCACAGGAGAGGCCCCAGAGAACTGGACAACATCTAGGAGATTAAGAAATAAATAACCTGTAATGTTATACACCTCACTGAGTTTAGAAAAAACAGTAATCATTACTATCTAGCTCAGAAAACAATATAAATAAGCAGTAATTTTACAAGTTTAATCATTTATTACAAAATAAATATTCTAACTTTCTTTTAAATCTTCTGAATGAACATCCAACAACCCATCCTTAGGATGGGCATTGATATCTGCAAATGAGCTTCAGTTAAAGGTCCCATGGCATCATTCGAAAGCCAATCATTCTCTTGATGTACTGACTAGCCTCCTTCATTCAGCCAGGATCACTAAACAGGTCACTGAATTCACTGCTGGGAGCACCTGGCTTCCTGCCAATATGCTTCTGGTTTTATGGAACAGCAGTCCTGGCCAACATTCAGCCCTTGAACCACACACAATCTGGTCACTGATATCATCGCTGCTTGTCGCAGCTTGGCTGAGGGGTGTCTGGTGTCTCATTTCCAACAATGGCTGATCCAACACGGTAGGGATACCCAGAAGTTGTGAAGGGTGCTAATTAAATGCACATCTTCATTCTTCCCAATCAATCTTCCATGAGAATTTCCAACTCCTCAAGAGGAACGCGGATCCGAATCTCCTTTTCCGTCATTAAGTCTAATATTTCTTGGAGTTGCGCAGGTAAGTGACTGACTGCATCCAAGTATAGCACCTGGGAATGAGAGAGAAGGAACTTCGTATTTGCTGTTAACAGACCACTGAATGGGCCTCTCTAATTTCAAATCTAATGTTGATCTTGCTTTTGTGCACTTGCTGTGCAGCCATACCTTGTATGCCTCACTCTGTCTAAACGCCCTATTGTTACAGAAAGGAGTTCGAATCCCTCTGATAATTAAACTGAAACACGAGCCCCCAATTTGTTATGGCAGGATTAGAGGTTCTTTTCTAATAACTGAAACGAAGCACCCAGAGGAGGGCTCTCCTCACCTTTATAATCTATTAAAAAGAGTGGTTAAATGAAAGAAAATCCCTGATATTCACTTTATAAGTAAGAAGTAACAATTTATTTACTTAACCCTAACAGTGAACAAATTAACAGAATTACTAACAAACTGACAATTCCCCCCTAACTACTAACTATTCCCTAACTAACTAAATTCTACTGATATGCTGTTTAATAAACACAAGTCCCACTTATAGAAACCAAGTGATAAGAAAATAAATTTAAAAAAAAAACTTAGTCTCTCAAAGTCTACATGTCTTTCTTCTGTTGTTGTCAAGTCATAAAAGCCTTTCTTCCACTGATCCAGCCGTCAGGGATGTTTTCTTTGTCAAATCTTCTGTGAGGACTCTTAGCTAGAAGTGCTGTGGTACCCTTTATGGATAGATGGTGCTTTCTTAGAGGGTTTAGCGATTTCTTGAGAGCTAGATGCTTATTTCTCAGATGGCAGCTCGCACTCACCAATTTTCAAAAACCATCTTATGCACCTTGGATGACAATCATTTTTCTTACAATAGCATTGGTTCGAGGTTGTCAAAACCATCAGATTTAAATTCAATTGGCTTTCAATCGCTAAGTGCTTGTTTTAAATTAATTGGCTGATTCCAGCTAGTGGCCAAAACATCAAAACATGCCAAAGGTTTCCAATCACACAGCCAATTGATACATGTTTCAATTTCAGAATTGGCTGTGCATTTTTTGTTACATACAGACACTTTTTTAATATAAATCTCTAAACTTAAAAAAGCACTTTACCTCTTAAAAGGAACCACGCACTCTCCCTCATTTTTTTAAACAAACAAATTCTAGCTTCCTGCCTTCCAATTCTCAATTACTCTGCACAACTTCATAACACTATGATCCGAATGTCCTTGTTTGCTATGATCTGCCCGTACTGTTTGCAAAACAAAACTTTTCACTGTACTTAGGTATACGTGACAACAATAAATCAAACTAAATATTTTTCCAGAAAGTTCAGAGGGAAATCTGCCGCTCATTGTGTAGGACTTTAGCCTCTGAGACACAGAGTTCATGGGTTTAAGTCTCAAAACAAAAAGTATATAAAAACTGACATTCCACTGACATTTCCACTGCAGTAGTGAGGAAGTGCTGTACTATCACCATCCTAAACTCCTGTCTGTTTCAGTTAAAAGGCAATAGCTGAAGAAAAGCAGCGTCCTGCTGCCATGGCCAATTATGGCCAACCATCAAAACAATTTTTCCTTAATACAGTTTGTGCCAAAGAGTTTATCTGAAGCTGAGAAAGTCTAAGCTCAGTTGTATAAATACTCAAGGAAAAGACTTTCAATTCCTAGTCATGAGAACTTGATAACATCAGTTGTTACCTACAGACTTGATAGAAAAGGGAATTTAGTGTTTGAGTACTGTAAAAGAGGTGCTTTTTGGATAGAAGGCATATTGTATTTTAGTATAATTTGAAAGGTTTTTGAAACATGTTATGTGTAAATAGTTTGGTTCATTTTATTTTAACATTATTTCTTTTGTGTAATAACCTTCCTCTTTATTGTTAAAACTAAATATGCATATTACGTACTCATGTTTCAATCAGCAACTATCTTGTTTCATAAAAAAACAAAATATGATCTATCAAGTCAGATTTCAGCCTGGGGTCTTACTGTCCAACAATAACTTCAGCTGGCACTGTAACACAGCAATGACTCCAGTTCCAATGTATTTCACTGCGCTGCTGGTGTTAGGAGTAAAATCAGGAAGCACTTTTTAATATAAAGAATACTGGAGAGCTGGGACTCGATGCACCAAAAACAGCTCTTACCAAACAGAAACCATCTGATTGCACTCTAAACTATGAACTGTTAAGCAACCAACTGGTGTAAATGGGATTAAAGGTACAGTTTAACCACAGCCTACTTCAGGGGCCTCCAAACTGTGAGAGGTGAGCCCACTAAGGAGATTTGGAGGTCATGAGTTCAAAGACAGCAGCAGCGAGTGTGCAGCACAGACTCTGCAGGCTCATAATTGGAGTATTCACCCTTTCCTCCAGCTCTCAGTGCACTCGGAGGGCAGAGGAGGGGAGGGGAATGAACAGGCAGCATCTGAAGAGAGTGCACCCGATTTCCTCTACAAATCAATCTCATGTACTTTGAAGCTTGAGGTCATCGATGTCCTCCACTAGGCAGGGGCTCATTCATTCCCAGGCTATTTAACGTAGTTGCTGAAACCTTTGTTCCAAATCGTTCGGGATGTTTCACTTTTCCAGCATTGTATGTTCTTTCTTGTTCAGGTTCATTCAAAGGTTTTCCAAAGCTTTAAATTATTAATTTATTTTACGCTAGTTTGGGCCACGTTAAAACAGTCAATGTGCAGAAACTGCCCCTCAATTAGACGCAGCGTAGAAAACAGCATGTTCACAAAATAGTTCAAAATTACAAACACAGGTTTTGGGATGCTCAATGCTTGCACAAACATTAATGATCAAATCTAAGGTTTACGATCCTGTTTTGTTTTGTTCTGGTGCCCTCCCCATCTGTGAACAGCTCTGTTACACTGTCCCCCTCCAAAAGCAACGCCAAGACTGAGGCATTAAGATGGAATCACACCAGAGAGGCCAGCGTAGTAAGCACTGCTCAAACTGAACATTAGAACAAGTCCACAGCTTCAAACCGTTTTACCCTATTCCTGAAAGAAGCTCAAAGTGATGAACTCTAACCTTGGCATGAGGCTTTAGCCCAGAACGATCCGAGGCAAAGTGCACATTTCTTCCAGCGTTAGGTCCAAAATGGGGACGTTCGCTGATGATTGCACAATGTTCAGCAGGACTTGGGACTCCTCAGATACTGGCATAGTCCATGCCCACAGGCAGTGAGACGTACACTGTATTCAGGCTTAGGCTAATAAGTGACAAGAAACATTGCCATAGAGGTGCCAGACAATCTCCAACAAGAATGAATCTAACCATCTTCCCATGTCTATCAACATCTTGGAGGTTACCATCAATCAGAAACTGAACCAGACCAGCCGTGGTGAACAGGAGCAGGTCAGAGACTGGGGATTCTGTGCTGAGTAACTCACCTCCTGACTCTCTGAAGCCTGTCCATCATCCATAAGGCACAGGTCAGGAGTTCGACAGAATACCTACAATGTTCCTCTAGATTGCTCGTGTGCACAGATGCTCCAAGATTCCACACACAGTGACTATGACACTGACTTCCGGTTTCAGAAGTTGCCGAACGTGCGGCTCTCAGATGCCCGGACAACCGGCAAGAAAATTGGAGGGAACATTGCTGCCTGACATGTGCGACTCCAACAACATTCAACAAGTCCAACAATGCTCCATTGGCACACCATAGAAACACAGAAAATAGGCACAGGAATAGGCCATTCGGCCGTTTCAGCCTGCTCCACCATTCAATATAACTATGGCTGATTATCCAGTACCCTGTTACTGTTTTCTCCCCATTTATCTGAAACCTTTGACATCCACTATCTCCACCACAGTGTCAGCAATGTGTTGCACATGATGCAGACTGATTTATATATATTTTTAATATAAGTTATGCTAAGTTTGGATTTTTAGTGACATATGGGCTTTTCTATGGGTCTGAAGAGTTAATGATTAGCTTGTATCTATTTCTGCAGCTATGGTGATTTCTTTTAAAATAGATTGAGGGAGTAGCTTTCAGAAGTAATGGGCTTATAATAATTTAAGCTTCTCAAGGTGTTAGAAAGAGGTATTTCTCTAATGAGAGTACTGTAAAAAAGGGTGTTTTTGGGTATTGTACAAGAAGTATTTTGGAATTTAATTGTACTCTAACACGTTTCAAAATTCTAAAAGGCGCATTGTGTAAATTGCTGGGTCCATTCTGTTTCATCCTCATTTCTTTTGCTTCATAAATTTTACTTTTATTGCCAGAACAAATTCTGAAACACTCTGTGCTTATGTTTCAGTGAGTGACCTTGTTAAATCCAAAGCAAAACAAAATATGATCTATCAAGCCAGATTTTAGTCTGGGATCTGAAATGTCCAGTAAGAACATTAGTTGGAATCATAAAAACTACCTACAAGCTGCATGGCAGTAACTCAACAATGCTTTTCTGACACATTTTCAACCCTGCAACCTCTACCACCTAAAAGGGATGAGAACAGCAGATACATGGAACACCGCAACCTGCAAGTTCCCTTCCAAGTCCTAAACTATCCTGCCTTGGAAATATCTTGCCATCGTTCAGTGTCGGTGTGTCAAAATCCTGAAGTTTCCTCCTTTATAGCACCATGGGTGCACTAACCAAATAGACTGCAGTGGTTCAAAAACGCAGCACACCTACTACCTTTACTAGGGCAACTGGAAATGGGTAATAAATGCTAGCCCAGACAGCTGCCTGTGAATGGATAACAGAAATAAAACACACAGTACCTAAAGAGGTATCCAGGTTATTAAAATTAGAAGCTGATAATTCTAGGCTCAACACTGTAGCCAATTAGTTAGAAGGTTAGGAACCTCAATTGCTGTCCTACCTTTGCCCATGGGCATTCCTGCAGTGCTCTGTAAAATACACCCTTTATCTTCTCAATATTTCCTTGAGTCACCTGTTTTACGGGAAGGATAATAAACATTAGAAACTAGGTCTCAGTATGAACATCTCAGCAGTGTAACGCAATGTGATAGAATATGCGAACAGAATGATTAGGAATCATTACAGATATCTGGAAGAGGATTCCCTTGCTTTATCTTGTAGACCAGCAAATATTACCTTTGTAAATAATTTCCGATTCTCTTTTGTAAGTTACTATTAAGTCTGTTTCTAAGCCCCTATTGCTGCTGCTGCTGCTGTAAAATATTCTCATCTCTCCTGGCTCTTTGCTAATTATCTCAGACCTTAAGATATAGGAGCAGACAAAAGCCATGTGCCCCATCGAGATTGCTCTGCCACTTAATTAAATCATGGTTGATCTGATGATCCTCACCTCGATATTCCTGCCTTTTCCTATAACCGCCAAATTCCCTTGAACAGGTTTTTAATCAGTATCTCAGCTTTGAATATACTTAATGACTCAGCTCTGTCTCTCAACAGGTCTTATTCTGGGTCCTCTGGTTACTGACCCACCTCCCAGTGGTACAGTTTCTCCCTGTTCAACAAAACTGAACATACTTTGGAACCTCAATTAAATCTCCCCTCAAACCCCTCTGTCCCAAAGTCAGCCCTTCATTCCTAATAATATTTCAGTAAATCCACTCTGCGTCCTCTTCAGGATACTGGCCCCCACAAGTGCAAACTCATCCACAAAGCAACCACTAACTCTGTCAAGAGTCAGATCAGAAAAAGCATCCACTAGTGGAAAATAACTCCCAAAAAGCCACCTCAGATTCCACGGGGCAATCAAGAGAGAACGGCTGTAATTTGTTCTCACCGTGAAGTTCAGGTACATCCTCCAGAGTAAAACAGAGTGTGCTCCAGCTTCTGTCTGAACAGCGTGCTCAAACAGCGCTCTGATTCGGTTGGTGAGGCCAGTTTCTGGGAGAGTGTTGTACAAAATCCCAATATCTGCCCTGAGGAGAAAAGATTCAGAACAAAAAAAATGGCCAGCCTTTTCTCTGAAGAAGGTCAACTGCACGAAACAGTAGGAATACCATTCCTGAGGACAGTCCAAGCTTTGCAAACTGTAAGGAGGACAGTGGAGAACTTCAAAAGGCCACAGACAGGTCAGGGTTATGGCTGGGTAAGTTGCAGATGGAATTCAATGCAGAAAAGTGCAAAGTGATTAATATTGATATGATAAACAATTGTAGTGACAACATAAAACTGACTAACTCTAAAGAGGGATGCACAAGTCTGATATACAAGTCTCAAGTCTTAAAGATGACAAGACAGGTTAAGACAGCAATTCCAGGCTTTCTTAAAAAGGGATATAGAGTACAAGAGTAAGGAGGTTATATTAAAAACTTTTATAAAACACTGGTCTGCCTCACTATTGCATCCTGTTCTGAGCACCACATTTTAGGAAAAGGTATGAAGGCATTAGAGAGAGCACAGAAGAGATTCACGAGAATGATTCCAGCGATGAGGAATTTCAGCGACATTGATAGATGGAGAAGTTTGGACTGAGATGGGGGTGTGGTATTTGGTAGAGGTATTCACAATCACGAGGGGTCTGTGCAGACAGGGAGAAACGTGGTGGAACATCCCGAGCAAGACAGTACAGATCCAAGATAATTGGCAAAAGACGCAATGAGACATGAGCCGAGAGTGTGGAGGAGGCAGGTTCAATTGAGGCATTCAAGGGACAAGTGGATTATTATCTGAAAATGAAGAAAGTCAGGGCTCCAGGGAAAAGTGAGGAATTGGACAGGGTGCATTGCTCATTCAGAGAGCCAGCACAGATGTAATGGGCTGAATGGCCGCTTCCTGCACTGAAACAATTCTGAGATTCCAGGGAAAACGCAGCTCCAAGGTTGCAAACATTCTGCTGCAGTCTAACAGTGGACAGGGAGCATGTTCCGGTCAGCACTAAGGGACAGAGTTTGAGGCAGGGGTTGAAAATAATGGCTTCGGTTTTGGCAGTCAGATTCGGAGGGACGGTGCTGAGAAACCAGAGGGAGTGGAGGGGCTTCCTCAGCCTGCAGTTTGAGAGAAACGGCTTCTCACATCAGCTCTTACCTCTGCACAGAGTCAACCCGCTCCTTTCTCTGCTCTTCTGCATAAATCGCAAATAATCGCGGCACGATGAGATCTTTTGCAGACCTGGCGGTGACGTCAAAGAACCTTCGGGCTCGGCTGGCATTGTGACAGCTGCTTTCAACCTGCACATACAGCTTCCAGAGCTCGCGGTTGCCAGGAAACTGCCCCAAAGCATGTGTCAGCGTGTGGCGGAGAGGGCCCAGGGGATACACGCTGGCCCGCATGTGGAACCTCAGAAGCGTCACGTGCATCACGGTCAGCCTCTCACAGGCTGACGTCACACTCTGTCGCCACACACTCCGCTTGGGCTGGACCGTTTCCAGCGAGGAGAGGCCTACAAGCCTTCCAGCTGCCTGCCTATACAGTGAGTCAGCAGCCTGAATGCCCAGTGTGAGGTACTGGAAGAGTGCGAAACAACCTACCAGGCTTACAAGCTGACCAGGCCCCTGGCTGCCTGTTGAAGTAGCATCATCGGCAAACCAGTCCTGTAAAGAACGCTCATACGTTTTCCGAGCCTTCAGCACGTTAACTGGCAGCACCTCACCTGCATAAGGTGAGCCAGCGAAACCCAGGGCGAGCCTGGTGAGGATGTAAATCGCTCGAGTTGCTGTTGACACACTGACACTCTGCACCGACTCCAGCTCCAGTGAGGAGTACAGGAAGCAGAGGTCACACAGGGCAGAGCTCTGCAGGCCCTGAGAGACAGACATAGCCATGGCTGTGTCGAAAACCTTCCTCGAGTCCTCCACATTACCCAGCAGCCATTCCAAATGGGCATATTCCCTCCAGAGGGCCAAATTGTTCCTGTTTTCAGCCTCCTTCAGAAGGGTTTTAGCGAGTTTCTTGCTCCTCTTCCCCAGAGATTTCAGCTGCTTCTTTCTCCTGAGCTGCAGGCTCTTCAGTACCTGCAAGTTACCAGAACGAGATTTTTAAAACCAGTCCTCACACATAGTACACTCGCCCTGACTACAGCCATCCCCCTAACAGTGTGTCCTCATCCTCTCCTCAGAAACACAGTTTCTTCCTGTATTCCATCCACACGCCCATGTTTGAGAAGACAGTGGACAGGGAGCGGATGGGGAGCACAAGGGTGCGGAGGAGCTGGAGAGGGGGTGGAAGACACAGGAATGTGAGAGAGAAAGCGCAAATGTGAGCACGTGCAAAGGTGAGAAGAGGAGAAAGTAACTGAGAGAAAGAGAAAGCAAGTGAGAAAAACATCAGAGGAAGAGAGAGAGAGAGAGAGAGAGAGAGAGAGAGAGAGAGACAGAAAACAGCAAGGCGGGGGCAGCAAGAGAAGACAATGTTAGGGGCAGGGGGCGAGGCACGAGCGCGAGACGGGGCGGGGCGAGGTGCGAGCGCGAGACGGGGGGGGGCGAGGCGCGAGAGCCAGTGAGAGAAACAGACAGAGACAGAGATAGAAAGAGATGGTCCTTCTGGCCCAGAGCTGTGAACACTGCCACTGTGCCACGCGATTGTTTCTGTGCTGCATGTTCAGCATTCTTACCTTTGATTTTTCGTACTGCAGCCAGTGCAGGGTAAGCTGTGACCGCTCTTTCCCAGCGAACAGGGGCAACGCCTGGTGAAATGCTGTCTGTATGAAGTCCTCCCCTTCTGTGCAGTGGCTGGCTGCCCATCTCTGACTGGGCATGGCTGGCATGAACCCAACAATGCTGACCCCAGCAGCAGGAGAGTCAGACCAAGACAACAGTCTCTCGTCACCTGACCCAGAGCTAAACAAGTCAGGGTCATCCAGTGCCACATTCAGGCAGCAGGGAGGCAGGCCAAATCCTGTTGGAATTCCCAGAAACTGGAAAAAGGATGACATGAGCTGGTACCTCAGCTCTTGGCTGGAGATTTTGAACATTGAAGATCCAATGTCATCAAACAGCACCTGTACAGATTTAAAAAAAAAAGCAAAAAAATAAACCCTGTCTCGAGCTCGCGCTTGCCCCCTCCGTCTCGAGCTCGCGCCTCGCGCCTCTCCCTCTGCCTCGCACTCCCTGCTTGCCCCTAACATGGTCTTCTCTTGCTGCCCCCACCTTGCTCTTTTCTCTCCTCTTTTACTCTCTCTGGATCTCTTCTGCTTTTTCTCTCACATTGTGAGCTGTATCTACGACAGTATCTTTCTCATGCAGTGAGGCAGAATTCGGGACAGAATAGCTCTGCCTGGGTGTGTTCACAGCAGTTTTGCCCAGAGACAATCAGAACCTGTAGCTGTGAGCTCAGGAAGGCTCAGCGTAGTAACAGCCACTTAAATGATTCCTGGGCAGATGGCTACAGAAGTGTAAAAACCGAAAGAACAGCGGATGCTGTAAATCAGGAACAAAAACAGAAGTTGCTGGAAAAGCTCAGCAGGGTTTGGCAGCATCTGTGAAGAAAAATCAGCGTTAATGTTTCGGGATGCTCTCCTCAGAACTGAGGAAGGGTCACCAGACCCGAAACGTAAACGCTGATTTTTCTTCACAGATGCTGCCAAACCTGCTGAGCTTTTCTGGCAACTTCTGTTTTTGCTACAGAAATGTAGCCTGCTAAGAGAGTACATAAACCTCACTCGCTCTCCCCTTTCTGTAACATAAAATGATAGAATCCCTACAGTGCCAAAGCAGGCCATTTCGCTAATCAAGTCCACACTGACCGTCCAAAGAGCATCCCACGCAAATCCATCCCCAACCTCCCCAACCTTATTCCCTGTAATCCCACATTTCCCCCAGCCAATCCACCTAATCTGCACATCTTTGAACTGTGGGAGGAAACTGAAGCACCCAAAGAACGTGCAAACTCCATGCTGTCACCCAAGGCAGGAATCGAACCCAGGTCCCTGGCGCTGTGAGGCAGCAGTGCCGTCCCAGTCCTATCCAGTGACACAAGCACATACTGTCACTCTAGTACTGAGGGAGTGCTGCACTGTTGGAGGTGCCAACTTTTGCATCAAACCTTAAGCCAAAGTTGTCTGCCCTCCCTTGCTGTTATTAAAGCTCACACAACATTACTCAAAACAATTACAGGAATTCTCCCTTAAGTCCTGGCCCATTCCTTAAGCAATATCCCCCAAACATCCCGTCATTATCTTATCGCTGTGTGAGACGGTTGCTGTGAAAACTTAACTGCTGGGTTTCTTACATTACAACACTGACGTTATTTCTAAAGTTATTTTATTGAGCATGAAGCACTTTGGAAGGTACCGAGATGGGTCATTTGTTTACTGGTTTCTAAAAGCAGGTCACCTGGAAACATCGCCCTCTCAGTTCCTGTGTTCGGTTTCAACATTGTGTGGACTGATGTTTGTTGTACGAAAATGGGAGACAACATGTTGGATGAAATTCCTGAGTCCTGATCAAGAGTGTAGGCCTGAAACGTCGACGCTCCTGCTCCTCTGATGCTGCCTGGCCTGCCGTGTTCCTCCAGCTCCACACTGTATCGACCCTGACTCCCGCATCTGCAGTTCTTGCCATCTCCAGCTGAAATTCCTCACTTGTTTAGTAAACAGCAGAGTTCTTCAGGTGTGGGTCCCTTTTGACAGACTGGCAATCACCACCCAACTGAGAGGCCCTGAGGCCTCAGCGAGTCTTTCATTTCTTTCTCTTACTTCGGGGAGACTTCGGTCAGCCTGAGCAGGTACTCAAGAGTCAACAACTTCAGTGTGTGACAGCAGTCAGCTTGGGCTAGCTAGGGCAAGGACAGCAGCCTCCTCTCCCAAAGAGAGAGATTAGTGGCCTGGATGGACTTTTATGACAAATCTGACAGCTTTGTGGACACCTTTTAAGATCAACAAACTCCAGATTCTTAACCTGCCTCAGTATGGGGTTTGATAACACATTTACTGGCTTATTAGTCCAGTAACATAACCACTGCACCATCATACCCCGAAGCAGGCTCAATATGTGGCCTGTGTTCGTAATGTGGCCATTAGATGGAGCTGCACATTCACAGTTATTGTATAAATGGAGTGCTGTATTAATTCAGAGACTCCAATGAGAATAGGCAACAGCAATATTAAAGCATCACACGAAGTGTACAGGAAATCTAGAATGCTCTTCACCAATAGCCAGCTGGGTCAGCTGTAAATTTCCAACATGGAGATCGATCGCCTAACTTTTGTTAGGTAATGGTATCGATTGATATGGAGCAAAGGCAAGCTAATGGATGTGAAATCAAACATGTTAAAAAGAGCATGATGGAAATAGCTCAAGGGGCAGAATGGCCTCCTAGATTGCTGCTCTCTTGCTGATTTTCCACGCAGCCCACAAAAAAGGTCAGAGAACATACCAGCAGGATGTAAGTGTGACACTCAAACTGCGAGAACAGAGTCACAGTTCCAGCAATGATACAAAACTACTTCTCAAATTGAAATACATTCAAATATCCATTCAATAACACCTTAAAAATTACAGAGGATGCCACCCTGGGAAACTTCCCACCAGTAAAGGCTAGGATGTGGAGTATTGGTCACGTGATAAACTTAATGTGCTCATTTTATCCTGAAAAATTCCCTAGTGCTAAACTCACTGAATGCAACCCGACATGTTAGGGAAAGTGTCTTTTACCCACATTCCCACAACGTCATTGAAATTGATGCTGCTTTACTGCTAGGCTTGCCTACAATGCTGTTCTCCAACTGAACATGAAACACAGAGCATAGAACCGTATAGCACAGGAACGGGCCCTTTGGCCCACGATGTTGTGCTGAACATGACGTCAAATTAAACTAATCCCTTATACCTGCCCTTGGTCCATATCCCTCCAATCCTTGCATATTCATGTGCTTATCTAAAAGTCCCTTAAGGTCCCCTATTGTATCTGCCTACACCCCTGGGCACTGCGCTCCAGACTTCTCCTACTCGGTGCAAAAAAAAACCTGCCCCTCATGTCTCCTTTGAACTATCCCCTTTCACCTTAAATGCATGTCCCCTAGTTTTAGACATTTCAACTCTGACCATCAACCCTATCTGTGTATCTCATAATTTTATAGACTTCTATCAAGTCTCCCCTCAGTCTCCGTCGCTCCAGAGAAAATAACCCAGGTTTTTCTAGACTCTCTATATAGCTCATAGTCTATAATCCAGGCAGCATCCTGGTAAACCTCTTCTGCACCCTCTCCAAAGCCTCCGCATCCTTCCTGTAATGTGGTGACCAGAACTGAACACAATATTCTAAGTGTGACCTAACCAAAGTCTTATAAAGCTGCCACAAGTCCACACCGACCTCAGAGCATCCCACCCAGACCCATTCCCCTATAACCCACCTAACCTACACATCCCTGGACACTATGGACAATTTAGCATGGCCAATCCACCTAACCTGCACATCTTTGGACTGTGGGAAGAAACTGGAGCAAACCCACACAGACAGTTGCCCCAGGGTGGAATCGAACCAGAGTTCCTGGCGTTGAGAGGCAGCAGTGTTAACCACTGAGCCACTGTGCCGCCCTTGTTCAGGGTCCTGCTCTTAACTGTATACATTTCCTTAACATTTGATCTCCCAAAGTGCAGCACCTCACACTTAGCCAGAATAAACACCATCGCCATTTCTCCGCCCATAACTGCAACTGATTATATCCCACTGTATCCTTTGACAACCTCCTAGACTATCTACAACTCTATCGATCTTTGTATCCACTGCTATATAATCTACCAAGCAAATATTTTCTGTACATTTTAAATAGCGTTATGGTCCTGTCATGGGAGAATGGGGTGCTCATATTACAAATAGAAGATTTTGCTTTTCTAAGATTACGACAATGATCAGACAACTCGCCTTGAGCCCGTGCCAAATTTGGGCATTCCACAACACATTTCAAAAAAATATCTTCATGGGATTTCAGGGCAAGGCCAGAATTCACTGCCATCCCTCCTGAGTTGCCCTCGAACCTTAAGGCCTGCTGGAGCCAGACAGCAGTTGGTGTCAACCACATTGCTATGGATCTGGAGTCACATATAGGCCAGACTGGGTAAAGACAGCAACTTCCTTCTCAAATGGACATTAGGAAACCAGACAGGCTTTTAACTGCAATCAACGATTGTTTCATGGTGACATTACAATTGTCGGAGGACTTCAGGGCCACGAAATAATCCTGTGACAATGTCACAGAACTACACAGCAATAGGCATAAATGGTAGCAGGATGGGCGGAGTTAGGATACAAGAATGAGAGAGAACAGAAGAGCAGAAGGGCATGAACACACAAGGATGATAGGTTAACCCGTAATGAACACAAGTATAAGTCAGGACCCGGTGTATCTATGAATACCATGGACAGCATTATTTCGCTCTTTCTATTATTCACTAATGGAATGTGGATGCTGTTGGCTGGGTCTGCACTTATTGTCCATTCCTAATTACCCTGAAGAAAGTGACCTTCTGGAAGTGATTCCCGAAATATCACCAATGTCTCTACAATCTCCTCAGAACTCTGGGCAGTAGTCCACCTGGTCCAAGTGATTTACCACCTTCAGACCTTTCAGCTTCCCCACCACCTCCTCCTTGGTGTCGGCCACTACACTCACCTCTGCCCCCTGACTCTCGAGTTCTGGTGTGCTGCTGGTGTCTTTCACCGTGAAGTCTGATGCAAAGTACCTACTCAGTTCCTCTGCCATTGTTCCCCATTACTACTTCTCCAGCCTCATTTTCCAGTGTCCAACATCCATTCTTGCCTCTCCCTTACCTTTTGCGTATCTAAACAAAAAAAAAAAGGCTCCTTGATGTCACAAATGCAGCTTTAATGTCAAGGGCGGTCACTCTTACCTCACCTCTAGAACTCAGCTTTTTGCCCATGTTTGAGCCAAGGCTGTAATGAAGTCAGAAGCTAGGTGTCCCTGACAGAATCTAAACTGGGCATCACTGAGCAGGTTATTAGAGTCATAGAGTCATACAACACAGAAACAGACCCTTCAGTCCAACTCATCCATGCCCAACCATGTTTCCTAAACAGAACTAGTCTCATTTGCCTGCATTTGGCCCATGACCCTCTAACCCTTTCTTATCCATGTACCTGTCCAAATGTCTTTTAAATGTTGTAATTGTACCCACCTCTACAAGTTTTTCTGGTAGTTCATTCCATATACGCACCACACTCAGAGTCATAGAGTTCTATAGCACGGAGACAGGCCCTTCGGTCCAAATGGGTCCATGCTGACCGAAATGTCCATCCATGCTAGCCCTATTTCCCTGCACTTGGCCCATATCCTTCTAAACCTTTCCTATCCATGTATTCGTCCAAATGCCTTTTAAATGTTGATAACGTACCCGCCTCAACCACTTTTGCTGGTAGCTCATTCCATGTGCTTACCACCCTCTGTGTAAAAAAGTTGCCCCTCAGGTTGTATTTTTTCCCCCCCTTAAACTGATGCCCTCTAGTCCTCCATTCCCCAACCCTGGGAAAAAGACTGAGTGCGTTCATCTTATTCATACCTCTCATGATCTTTACACTTCTAATAAGGTCCTCTCTCAGTCTATGCTCTAAAGAAAAAAGTCCTAGCTTGTCCAACCTCTCCCTATAACTCAGTCCCTTGAGTCCTGGCAACATCCTTGTAAACTTCTTCTGCACTCTTTCCAGTTTAATAACATCCTTCCTATAGCAAGGAGAACAACTGAACACAATACTCCAAGTGCGGCCTCACCAATGTCCTGTACAACTGCAACATAACTTCCCAACTTCGATACAAAATGTCCTGACTGATGAAGGCCAGTGTGCCAAACGCCTTCTTCACTGCCCTGTCTACCTGTGACTCCACTTTCAGAGAACCGTGCACCTGAACTCCAAGATCCTTCTGTTCTACTACACTCCTTGAAGCCCTACCATTCACCATGAAACTCCTACCTTGATTTGACTTTCCAAAATGCAACACCTCACACTTATCTATATTAAACTCCATTTGCCATTTCTCAGCCCACTTTCCCAGCTGATCAAGATCCTGCTGCAATTTCTGATAACGTTCCTCATTGTCCACAATACTGCCTATTTTAGTGTCATCTGCAAACTTACTAATCATGCCTGTGTGAAAAATGTGCCCCTCAGGATCCTTTTAAATCCCCTTTCTCCTCTCACCTTAAACCTATGCCCTCTAGTTTTGGACTCCCTACCCTGGGGAAAAGACCTTGGCTATTCATCTTATCTATGCCCCTCATGATTTTATAAATCTCTATAAGCTCACCCATCAGCTTCTGATGCTCCAGGGATAAAAGCCCCAGCCTATCCCGGCTCTCCTTATAACTCAAAACCTTCCAGTCCCAGCAACATCCTTGTAAATTTTTTCTGTACTCTTTCTAGTTTAACACATCCTTCCTATAGCAGGGCGGCCAGAATTATATACTATATTCTAAAAGTGGCTTCACGAATGTCTTGTATAGCTGCAACATGACCTCACAACTCATACACTCAATGCTCTGACCAATGAAGGCAAGTGGGCCAAAAGTGGAAAAGATTTAAAAAAAAGTTAAAACTTTAAAAAGTTTTCTTGCTGAGCAAATGCAGCTCAATATGACACCTTCATCATTTTACTGATGGTCAAGAGTAGACTGATGGGGTGGTAATTAGACTTCTCCTGCCTTTTTGTACAGGGCATACCTGGGCAATTTTCCACATTGTTGGGTAGATGCCAGTGTTATAGCTGCATTGGAACAGCTCAGTTAGGGGTATGTCAAGTTCTGGAACACAAGTCTTCAGTACTATTGATATTAACAACACTTGCAATTACATTGCACCTTTAAAGTAAAGGAAGATCCTAAGATGCTTCACAGGGAAATAAACAAAATTTGATGCCAAGCTACATAAGGAGAAACTAGAGTCTGTGACCAACAGCTAGGTTTTAAAGGAGAAGATAGAGGGGACAAATAACTGAAGGCACGGCCAACAATAGTAGATTAGACTAAAATCAGAGATGCGTGCAAGAGGACTGAATTGGAAGAGAATAGATATTTCAGCAGAGTCTAGGGCTGAAGGAAATTAGATGCAGTTTCTACTGCATGGAAAATGACTCTTCTGTCCATTGTATCCATGCTGGTCATCAAATGTCCATCTATTCTAATTCCATTTTCGAGAAGCTGGCCCATAGCTTTGTACATCCTGGCATTTCAATCTGGCATCTAAACACCAAGATTACAGAGAAAGAGAGGTCAGGACTTGGGAGGTTTGAAGTAGAGTTTTAAAATCAGGCCATTGCCAGACTTGGAGCCAGCACAGGTCTGAAAGCACTTGGTGCGTGATCAGATCCAGGCAGCACAGTTTTGAATAGGTTCACATTTCTGGAAGGTGGAAGAGGAGGAGAATAGGAACATGAGGATAGGGAAGAATTTTCAGATGGGGAGAAATGTCCCTTCTGGGGGCTATCTGCAGCTCTCTGAGGCAAGAGCACCAAATTGCTCAAGCTCAGCGGATCAAGTGACTTACCTTTCTCATCCAGTGATTACGATTTGAACAGGGGGACAAATGGTGAGCTCACCTGTCTGTCAGGATCTTCACAGTCTTCTTCAGCCTGACCCTTTCCCTTATCAGCTCGCCATGGCAACCAGTGCTTGAAGTCACGGCTGCTCTCCACCTGCAACCAAAGCTGCCACTTGGGTAGCGTCTTGTCTTTGACTTCCTCCACATCTTCCTCCTCATCCTCATCGTCACCTTTTAAATTCAAAAGACACACATCTGAAGGTGAGTGGTAGGCAGGAACGGAGAGACCTGGAAGGGACGGTGGTCATGGAGAACACTGGGGGGTTCTGCACCCAGAAATTCTTGAAGATGGTAGTATGTTACAGAAGGTCAGAAAGGCTGACAGCAGCCTTGGTTTTACAAAACAAGGCACAGGGTCCAAAAGGAAGCTAAGCTATGCTAAACTGTTAGGTCCCAGCTGGAGTATTCGGTTTAATTCTGTGCTTCACAGTTTAGGAAGGATATCAAAGCCTTGGCAAGGGTATACAGGGGATTTACTGGAATGGCTCCAGGGCTATAGGTCTTTAGCTACAGGAAGAAACAGGAGAAGCTGGGGTTGTTCTCCTTCAAGCAGAGCCAATTTCTAGAGGCTTTCAAAACAGAGGAATTTCTGCAGTATGCATAAAGTGAAAGGTCAGGAAGCAGAGGACAGAGCTTCAAGGTAACTGGCAGTGGAGCTAAAAGGGAAACGAAAAGAAAACAATTTAAACGCAGCTCAACGTTGTGCCTGATGATGACACTAACAATTCCACAAAAGGTTTTAGCTGCTGTTAGTTGACAGGTGTCAGACAAGGTCTCCTAAAACGTCAGGCAGGACTCCTGTTCTTGGTTATCTTCTAGATTGGACAAGGACATTACTGGGATTGGCTAAATGATGGAAGAATTTCACACCAGTCAGTGACTAGTTTAACAAAGCGCGAGACAGTTTGGGTCTCATAGTTTTTTAGAGCAGTGTCAGTACGTTTATCACGGGCTGAAATGACTTTTTCTGCGTCATAGCACTTTGTGACTGTGTTTCCACCACAATTACACACTGCAGTATTTACAAGATGTATTGCACCAACTCCCAACAGCTCGTTCGACAGCACTTTCCAAACCTGGAACATCTCCTGCCAGAACGACAAAGACAGATGAACAGGAACACCGCCGGCAAGTTCCCGTCCAAGCCTCACACCATCCTAGGGTGGAGCTACATTGACTCAGAGACAGTGAAGGACCGTCAAAGTCCTGGAACTCCCTTCCTAACAGAAGTAGCACCTAACACCAACTGCAGCAACTCAAGAAAGCAGCTCATTATGACTTTCTCATGGGTAGTTTGGGATGGGCTATAAGTGCTGACTTAGTCAGTGATGACTACATCCCATATTTGAATTAAAAAATACTGTCCATCTAAATCACAGGAACTGGCAGAAGGGACAGCTGATTAATTCAGATCTGTAGGAGGAATCTCCACCAGCGCAGCAACCCCTCAGAACTGCACTGAATCAGTGCTAACCAAGACTTTGTGCTCATGCTTGCAGCTAGAACAAAGAACAGTACAGCACAGGAAAAGGCCCTTCAGCCCACCAAGCCTTTGCCAACACATGACATCTTCCTAAACCAAAACCCTTTGTGCCCCATGCTGTCCGTATTCCTCTATTCCCTCAAGATGCTTCTTAAACATTGGTAATGTATCTGCCTCCATCACCACCTTTGGCAGCGCAGTCCAGGCACTTACCACCCACTGTGTAAAAAAATCTGCCTCTCACATCTTCTTTAAATTCCTTCCTTTCACCTTAAAGCTATATCCCCCAGTAACTGACATTTCTACCCTGGCGAAAAAGACTCCGACTATTCATTCTATCCATGCCTCTCATAATTTTGTGAGCTTCTATCAGGTTGACCCCTCATCTTTTGATGTTCAAGTGAAAACAAACCAAGTTTGTCCAATTTCTCCCCATAGCTAATACCCCCCCAAACCAGGCAATATCCTGGTAAACACTATGTACCCTCTCCAAAGCCTCCACATCCTTCCGGTAGTGTGGTGAAAAGAACTGTACACAATATTCCAAATGCGGCCTACCTAAAGTCTGTACACAGCTGCAACATAACTTGCCAACTTTAAACTCAATGCCCCGGGTGACAAAGACAAGCTTGCTGTACGTATGTACGACCAGCTTATCCACTTGTGTAGCCACTTTCAGGGAACCGTGGACCTGTACACCTGGATCCCTCTCTATATCAATGCTTCTAAGGGTTCTGCCATTTACTGTATACTTCCATCCTGTATTAGATCTTCCAAAATGCATCACCTTGCATTTGTCCAGATTAAATTCCATCTGCCGCTTCTCTGTCCAGGTCTGCAGCCTATTCCCTGCTATACCCTTTGTCAATCCTCCTCACTATCCTCAGTACCTCTAGCCTTTGAGTTGTCTGTAAACTTGCTAATCAGCTACATTCTCCTCCAACTCATTTATATATAACAAACAACAGGGGTATCTGCACTGCCCCTGCGGGACACTACTGATCACAGATCTGCAGTCAGAAAAATGCTCTTCCATGCTACACTGTGTCCTATGCCTAAGTCAGTTCTGTATCCATCTAACCAGCTCACAGCAGATCCCATGTGACTTCACCTTCTGCATCAGCCTGCCATGAGGGACCTTGTCAAAGGCCTTGCTAAAGTCCACGTTAGACATCTACCATCCTGCTAATCATCTTTCTCACTTCCTCAAAAAAGACTCAATCAAGTTTGTGAGACACGACCTTCCTGCACAAAGCCATGCTGCCTATCACTAACAAGTCCATATTTTTCTAATTTGATCCCTATCACTGACATGAGGCTCACTGACCTGGATTATCCCTGTTGCCCTTCTTAAACAAAGGAACAACATCGGCTATTCTCCAGTCCTCTGGGACTTTCCTGTGACTAAAGGGGATACAAAGATTTCATATAAGACCCCAGTAATTTCCTCCCTCAGCATTCTGGGATAGATCCCATCTGTCCTAGGGACATGTTTATCTTAACACTTTTCAAAGCATCCAACACCTTTTTTATATCAAATTCCCTTGTTTGTCCACTCCTTTGAGTGGACCTACCCTTTCCTTTCAGGAACAAAAACAAAGTTGCTGGAAAAGCTCAGCAGGTCTGGCAGAACAGTTCTGAGGAAGGGTCACCGGTCCTAAAACGTTAACTCCGTTTTCTCCTTCACAAATGCTGCCAGACCTGCTGAGCTTTTCCAGCAACTTTGTTTTTGTTCCTGATTTACAGCATCTGCAGTTCTTTCGGTTTTTACTACCCTTTCCTTTGCTACACTCTTGTTCCTTATATACGTATAAAACACCATGGGATTTTCCTTAATCCTGTTTGTGAAAGACAATTCATGGCCCCTTTTAGCCTTCCTAGCTCCTTGTTTAATTTGCTTCCTGCTTTCTTTATATTCTTTCTGTATGTCATCAGTTTCTTAAACTTTACATATGCCTCTTTTATCCCCTTTTTGACTAAACTCACAATTCCTCCTGTTGTCCAAGGCACCTGAATCTTGCCATCCTCATCGTTCATTTTCACAGAACATGCTGTGCTGAACTCTAATCATGACATACCAGGTCTAGTATGGCCCCTTCCTAGTTGGACTATTTATACGTTGCTTCAAGAAACCTTCCTGGACGAGCAAACAAACTCCACCTCATCCAAGCCCCTGGCACTAAAGGAGTCTCTGTCAATATAGGGGGAGTCAAAATCACCATCCACCACAAACCTGTTCATTTTTTTTTAAAAAAACATTTTTCCATAATCTGTCCGCATCTTTGTTCCAACACTAGCTGTTGGAAGGCCTGTAGTACATTCCCAAAGTGACTGCACCCTTCCTATTCCTCAGCTCTACCCATATGGCCTCGCTGAATGAGTCCTCCAGGATGCCCTCCCTCGGTACAGCTGCAATATTCTCCCCCATCGGTAATACAACTCTCCCAGCTCTTTTATATCCCTCTTTAGCTCACCTGAAACATCTAAATCTTGAAGCATTAAGCTGCCAGTCTTGTCCCTCTTTCAATCAAGTCTCTGTAAGAGCTACAACCTCAATTGTATATATTAATCCAAGCTCCAAGTTTATCTGCCTCACCTTTCATACTCGTGGCATTAAAACAAATACACTTCCGGCCGCCAAACCTGCTATGTCCAGTACTCTCTCCTGTTTTTCCTCTTAGCCTTGGTCTCTAACACCTCTTCAGTTGGTTCATTTGCTGACCTACTGTCCTGGTCCCCATCCCCTGCCACACTAGTTAAAACCGTCCCAAGTGGTACTAGCAAACCTCCCCAGCAGGATATTGGTGCCCCAGTACAGACTTTATTAAGGTGTATTAAGAAACGTTTTGATGCAGCTGCATATTTAAAAATGTCTATCAATTGGAAATAAGCAAGGGCTAGGAGCTTGGTGGTTACTCTATCAATGTCTCTCTTCCCAGGGTTAACAAAGGTGCATGTTCCAGCTGGGTCTGGAGGGGTTCTCATGGTAAAATAATTTTTTGGACATACAAGGCAATTTTCGAACTGAACTTGACTGCGCAAGTTGCTGAGTTGCGGAAAAACTTCAGTTAGTTCAGTGTCAAAGAACAAAGCAATAGACAACAGTACAGTATCCAGGAATGTGAAATTAAAGCTCTGGTTTTAATTGGAACACAGAAATATCAGAAGAGGCTCACCTTGCTCCTTCAGGACAACCCAGCCGCCCCTTTCTTGCTGTCGCATCCAAACCTTCCAACCTCTCGCCCCTCCTTCTCCAAACCGGGGTTCATCACTGTCCCAGAATGGTTCAAAGAACTCCACCTTCTCAGAAGATACACAAAAACTCTTGGTTATTGATAAATTCAGAAGCTTCTGAAGTGCAACCAGAATCTATCTGAAGGGCTAAAATCTAAGGGAGCAGTCCAGTCTTGATGACATGCCAGACCAGATTTGTACTGGCTTTGGTCCTGGGATCAAGTACAGACACAGAGTCCTCAACCACTCTTCATATGACAAGCTCTTTCATCCCCGGGACCGTTCTTGTGAAACTTCTCTGAACCATCTCCAAGTTCAGCACATTCTTCCTTCGATAATATTCAGTCCTAGCTCAAGCACGGAACTGGGGAAAACATACAGGTCTTTCCTGGCAGCATCGGACTTCCTGTTGCTTGGCCTGTCCATTACGTGGGTTGATCACAACCAAGTTGAAAAGATTGAAGAATGGAGATTTTGGTGGATATCGAACCTTGAGCGCTTCATGGTCAATGTGGCCAGCTGCCTTCTGAATTGCTGGGGTCATTATACAGCTCAACCAAAGCTAAGGGCACACTAAACACAATTGTGTGTAAAACAGAAACAATTCTATTCAGGAAGGGCTCCAAATAGAACATTACAGCGCAGTACAGGCCCTTCGGCCCTCAATGTTGCGCCGACAAATGTTGAGATTTTGATTTAAAAACTGACCACCTTCCATGTTTTACTTATTTTTCCATTGATTCATCTCAAACATACTGCATTATAGCAATAAAGGAAATAAATGCAATTACTCACTCTAACTTCAGCTCCATGTCCCTGTGCAAACCTGAATCTCACAAAAATTCTCTCTGCAGGGACTGCAGCCTCTTGCACTCAAACTAACTTTATAGCTTTTGTTGGTAACCATTCAGATTCTGTCTTCAGAGACATGTTGTTAGTATCAATATCTCCTCAGTCTGTGATAGTTACTGTTTATTCTGAAGTATGTAAAAAATAATTAAAAAAACAGAAGGGAGTAGAAACAGCAAAAGTCCAAAAGCACAGCAGAGACGGGATGAGATAAAAATCAATTGTGACTGTTGTCAAATAAAGCAACCTCGAAGTAAAGCTGCTCCTGAGCAGTTTGCTTGCTACAGTCTCGCCTGTGGCAAAAGAATTTATTTTTCCAAAATACACCCGATGTGGTTAAAAAGTTCCATCAGTGGGATATAAATGTGCCCTCCGGGAAAGGCACATGACCTGTTTCCCAAACAGCCCAGAGATCTCTGAACCTCACTCCCGCTCCACTCGGCCAGCTACCAAGCAAGACCCTCGAGTCAAGTGGTGCTGAGCCTGGCTTTGCAAAAAGCCTGCACAAGGAGAGGCAGAGGTCCTGAAAACAGAGACACAGGTTTTGAAGAAACGAATTGGATCAATCAAGCAGCCCTGACATGCAGATTACAAATGGTTTCTGGTAATATCACTGCGATCTATTTTCTACTTGCACAATTCCATCTGCTGTCAAATCTAACATCATTTCCATTAGGTGTGCAGAAGATGGGAAAGAGGCCACCGAACAAAAAGGAATAAGAAAATGCATCAATCTTCCAAAACTAATTATAGTATCATCTTGCTGAGAGTGTGGCGAATATTAACCGCACTGGCTATCTGCAACCTGAACTATATTAATAGTGCATTTAAAGCAGGCTTGTTAATAGTATTTCATTTTTTAAGATCAATCTCTGGTTCACCGCTCAAACAGCACACTGGAATGCTGACAGACTGACATCAACACAACAGGCTGGGTGTTTATCTGACTGAGCAGACGCACAGTCATGAAGACCCTTACTAACACATCAATTTCTGAAGAGTTACTGTGGACTCAAAACGTTGACTCGGTTTTGTGTCTCCACAGATACTGCCAGTCGTGCTGAGTTTCTCCAGTACTTTCTGTTTGTTTCGGATTGCCAGTATTTTTTTTGCTTTTATTACAAATCAATTTGCTTCCCTGTGGAATACAGCATCACAGCAATTAACTAAGTGCCTCTTCCAGGGTCAGTAATGAGTTAGCATCAGTGGATAGAGAAAGAACTTGCATTTATATAGCACCTTTCAGCACAATACTTCAATGGAGGAAACACCGAAGGTAATCCACACATAGCAAGCTTTCACAAACAGCGATGTGGTAAGTCAGTGAGGGTAGGTGAAGGACAAATACTTCCTAAGAAAACAGGGTGGACGTTCTGGCTTTTCTTTGAAATAGTGCAATGGGAGATCTTATATTCACTCCTGTGGTGCCAGTCTGGATTTTTGTGCTGAAGTCACTGTCCAGAGATTTGAACCCACGACACCTGGATTCAGCAGTGACAGGGTTAGCCACTGAACCAAGGCTGACACTTGCGATGATATCAAGGGTTCATTAAACCCAGCACTGGGAAATTAACACACAAGATCTGCGCATGAGAAAATCAGCAATAGAATCCCCACAACGTGGATACAGGCCACTCGGCTCAACAAGTCCACACTAACCCACCAAAGAGCATCCCACCCAGACCCTACCCTATTTCCCATGGCTAGCACACCTAACTTACACATCCCTGAACACTATGGGTAATTTAGCATGGTCAATCCAGCTAGCCTGCAATGTACAAAATGAGAATGTGCAAACTCCACACAGGCATCCGAGACTGGAATCGAACCCGGGTCCCTGGCGCTGTGAGGCAGCAGTGCTAACCACTGAGCCACCATGCTACCCCAAACGTAACAGGTCACCAAGCCAGTGCTGCCCAGAGTCAATTTCAGCCAGGACAGAGGCAGAGTTGTTCCAAGTGTTAGAAAACCATGGAGTTATAACTAGTGGGGCATCTCAAACATGACAACACAGTTACAAGATTGGAAAACTGAGTGCAAAAGGATTTCTTAGAGTCATACATGAGGAAGTATGTATGAACCAGGGTCTCCCTCCTGTTTGCTAGCTAGTGTTAGGCCAATGACACAAAAGAAAGACTCGCTGAATATGGAGTTCAAGGGAACAAAATCAGAAATTGCCGGAAAAGCTCAACAGGTTTGAGGAAGGGTCACTTGACCCGAAATATTAACTCTGATCTCCCTCCACAGAGGCAGCAACATGGCTCAGTGTTTAGCACTGCTGCCTCACAGCACCAGGGACCCAGGTTCCATCCCACCCTCGGGCGACTGTCTGTGTGGAGTTTGCGCATTCTCCCTGTGTCTGCGTGGGTTTCCTCCAGGTACTCCAGGGAAAGGGTAGGGGGATGGGTCTGGGGGGGACGCTCTTCGGAGGGTTGGTGTCGACTTGTTGGGCTGAATGGCCTATTTCTACACTGTAGGGATTCTATGATTCTATGAGATGCTGCCACACCTGCTGAGCTTTTCCTGCAATTTCTGTTTTTGTTTCTAATTTACAGCATCCGCAGTTCTTTTGCTGGAATTAGAGGGGCTTTTGATGCCCCGTGACTGTACCCCAAAGGATTTTCTCCCACTGGTGGATTTAATATCCAATGGGCTGTCTTCCAATGATCCCAACATGATCAGGAAGGTACCAATGGACTAGGAATGAGAAATTTGTTTATTATATTAATAACTCTTTATTCTGAGTGACAAGCATCTCTGTATTATGCAGAACTGAAGTGTAAAATGAAAATAATAGAAAACAAAAACTCTCATGATCTCAGAGATTGACCGAGTAGATGTTGAGATGAAGTTTTAAACTAGGCAAGGTCGCCTGTGATTGATCAGGACATTGCCGTGAAATAAACCAGTGGAGTTGATGCAGTGTGTGTACATGTTCTTTCTGTCTGCAAAGAACAAGGGACTTGTCAGGGCAAATATTGAGATGATGTTTCCACTAGTGGGGCCACATCGAACTAGGAGACATAGTTACAGAATATGAGAATACTCATTCAAAGCTGAGCTGCAAAGGAATTTCTTTGAGTCATACAGCACAGGGACAGGCCCTTCAGCCCACTACGTCTGTGCTGACCAACAAACACCAAATCACACTAATCTCATGTCCCCGCACTTACTGCATAGCCTGTCAGTTTAAGTGCTCAGGAGGAGGCTGTCTGGAATTCTCTGACTGTGAGAATTGTGGAGGCACAAGAGAGGAGTTGAGGCCTGGGGCAGATCAGCCATGATCTTGTAAAAGGCAGGGCAGGCTAAGCTTGAGGAGCTCAATAGCCTGTTCCTACTCCTCTCGGTTGTGATGTTTTGTTTTCCACATCAAGACCGTACAGAAAATAAAGAGCAAACTGTTTTGTTCCCACGGAGAAGTGATATGTCACCTTGTGCTGACAGCAAAAGCTGACATCTAATCCGCTTGATATTTTCTCAAGAGCCTGCAATTTGTAATGCTGTCACCAAGTGTAGCCAGGGGAATCTACTGGGAGCATGCATTGCTGGCTCATCCTTAACCCCTGGAAGTCAATGCTATTAACCAGCAGCAATTAAACCGTCTGCAATGCACGGTCATACTGCAGTACAGCAGCAAGGCCAAGGCTCAGTTCCCAGCACACAGAATGGGTCGCAATGGGCTCCCATGTGTGGTTCTGTGCTAAATATAGACACCAGATGTAAACAGAGGATCCCTTGAAAGACACTCATCCAAAGCCCAGCCAGATGAATGTAAAAGATCCCAAGGCTTTATTTCTGACAGCAGCTCCCTAATGCCCTAACAAACTTGGATTGCTTTCACTAGAGTACCAGAGGCTGAAGGGCAAACTGATTATGAAAGGTGGGGACAGGGTGGATAGTCAAATGTGGGGGACAGCATGGTAATTGTTGAGCGAGGCACCACCAAGTGGCTGGACAGAGGGAACACTGCCCCCTAGCAGGTTGAGAGTGAGGGGTGCAGCAATAGCAATGCCACTGAATATTACAGGTGGTATGGTTAGATGCATTTTTCCAGGAGATGGAGATTGCTGGATATTTGTGGGATGTGAAAGTTACTCACAAAGCCTGAATTTTGTCCAAGTCATGCTGTACATGGAGATGGACAGCCTCACTATCTGAGTAACTGAGAGTGTGGATGAACAACGCAATCAACAATGAACATTACTCCTTCTGATTTT